ACTGTATAAGATAGTTTGCCAGGCAAGATAATATACGTCTACTGGCAAATAAAAATATTTGGCAGTACAGTAACAATTAACTTTATGAAATATTCAACCTTCAGTCTTACACTTCTTTAGAACTTAGGAGGATACTGTTTAAAATTACCAAGTTTCGTCAATATCTGTCAAGACTTGGGTCTTCTAGAGTGTTTACAGGCTAAAACTTGAACGCGTTTTAAGAACAAGGGCAATAACTCTAACTAAATATTTTTCGATTCTTCTGATTTTCGATAGGTTTCATCCTTGGTTGATAAAAACACTCACACAAAGTTTCGTAAAAATCCGTCAAGAATTGTGCCTTCTAGAGAGTTTGTGTGCTAATAATTTAACGCGTTTTCAAGAGCAAGGGCAATTACTCATACTTATTACTTTTCGATATTTTTCAATAGGGTTTACCCTTGGTGATAGCAAACACTCACACCAAGTTTCATCAAAATCCGTCAAGAATTGCATCTTCTTGAGTGTTTACGAGCATTTTAAGAACAAGGGCAATAATTTATACTACATATTTTTAGATTTTTCTGATTTTCAATAGTGTTCATCCTTGGGTGATTATAATCAAGTTTCGTCAAAATCAGTCTCTCATTTTGAAACATGGCTAGCTTGCCAAAAGATAGACTTCAGCTGTCAAGTTACTCGAGTTATAAATCACTATCTCTATATTATACACTGCCATGAATACATATACGTATAATTCAAAAGTTTTCACAGTGCTTACAAAGAGTTTCGAACAAAACTATGAAGAAGATATATTTGCAAAGTACATCGATTTTATGGTTTCAAATTAATACGGACATTGGTGTTTAAAAAATAAATAATTTCATTAAGTAAATATTGACAAGGCTTTCGAAAATTTACTAGTTCCACTTAAAACTCTTCAAACCATTACTTTAGTTTTCATCATACACTGTTCATTAGGTAACGAACAGAAATTCTAAATGAATTTTATTCGCGTATTAGTGTTACACTCGTTCAATTTCCGGAGTGCTTCAGAACAGTGGAAGAGGGAATAATTACAAAACACTTCAAAAACCTTTACAATATTAAAACAAATTTAAAGCATACTCTTGCTTAATTTAATGGGGAAGATAATAGCAATCAGAAGATGAACATGCTTTGTAGGATAGAATACACATCATTAGACTAATAACAAAAACATAATAGCTAGATTGGTCATTTTTCTCAGTGATGGTTTATGGGCATCACGTAGGCCTATGTTTACTACATAAATTTATGTTATATAGGCCTACCTTTACATATACAAGGTACATGGACTATGGCTAAGCTAAAAAAATATTAAAATTTGAAAATAAAATGAACAAAACTGTATAAGTGCACAATGTAGAAACGTTATTTCTCTAAGGAAAAACAGAACACTTACGTTAGATTAAATTCCACAAGCTATACGAACAGCTCATACAAAGATATATTTCTCAGACGTTATGTCCTGCGATTGCCTTCATCACTTTTAAACACGTTTAAACAGGCCTAATGATATAAAGTTGGATGACAGAAAAAACTTCTATCAATAAATGTGTTGTAGAGACTTAATAGTAATCTCAGACGGTAGTATACCTTCTCTCATCAGATTAGTATTCTAAACACCAATAAATACACACTAACAGTATAGATTACCAATGTACTTACTCAACTTGTGTTTATTTTACCACCGTTCTTCGACAGAGTAGAATCATCAGCCTAGTCAAATAACGATTGGTTGGAACTTGCCTGTTAATCCAGATCACTGACTACATTGGTTTTTATGGTACGTTGAAACATAGTAGGCCCACAAGTCGAGATATCTTTCCTAATTAAAATAATGTAACTTCATCACAAGGAGTGGCGGCAATATTCACACAGAAGTAATTGCATAATTAAAATGAACTAATGGCATACAAGATGCATTAATTGCAGTTAGATTTTGTAGATTTGCTTCAGGTTAATAACAGGTTGATACACTGTTTCCATTACATCCAGCCATTCAAAGGTGAAACTCAACTCTTAAACGTTTCTTCGTGGCAAATCTTTAAGATAATTGTTACATAGCACTGCAAAATATCACAAATCGATGTGTTTTTAAATAATTAAGTCATAGTTGATTTGAAGGCTATAGAAGTTATGGAGTGATTTGTGATAAATATTATAGTGATAGATATTGATTTCCTTACAGAACACATCTTCCACTCTACTGATTTGTAATAGTCAACTGGGAATTGGCGAGATTGCTAGGAAAATGCATGACTGGATTAGAAAAGTTAAGTGCCACACATAATCAGCTCTATATAATAAATCCATATCCATGTCCATTTCACAAATAAAATAGTTAGTAGCATATCGGTGGTTAAGAGATGATTTCGTGAGCTTTATCCATTTGAAAAGGTTCTAGGCACGGAAATATAACATTAAAACATGACAAGAAGAACCAATCCTCGTTCAAAACAGTTTGGCAAGAGGTGAATGGTTCAAAATTACTGTTTTAGGCCTCAATGTATGATCAAGCGTAAAGTTGTTATTGTCATTGACTGCTCATAACTTGACTGGATTTAATCAATAGTGGCTGAGGAGAGTTAATGAATTATACCATTGGGATTGATTCGCTATGACAGCACTTTGAAAGACATGTTCGAATTGATGGCTCATTCAGACATAGATAAATATGTCAACAGTTGCTTAACAGTGGAAGAAATTGTGCCAACTTTCGTCGCCATTCTAAAGCCTCTTCAAGGTCGTTAAAGAGCTACCTGATGAAGCTGATTATGTGAGATTAGTCATGAAAATCTGACTGATATCTGACCCTCGATTGTGTCAGGAAAGATTCTAGAATTCTGAACATTCGAAGACCAACTATCACTAATATTCTTATCATTGACAATCCTGTGGAACCCACTACATGTCAGAGATTGGTCTTCTAAATATCTTGTTCGATTCGACGTTAATGTTTCAATAGTTTTTTTTTCATAAGAATTAACCCATTCCATCAACGGTTTCTAATTGGACTCAATCCTTTTATAATATCTTAATGAAAGAAGTAATTAATATATTACAGTTGAATGAAAGGGTTTATTTTTAAGTAAATTGAATAATAATGGATACAAGTACCTGGTACTAATAGTAAAACAATTATGATCAATAAGTATAACTAGTTTATTCATTAGTCAATAATTTCTCATACAATAGTTATTGGCCCTAGAGTCAATATTTGTCTAGAGAAATACCAAAAATCTATCAATATAACTTATTAACGCTTTGTAAATGGATACAATATTCCATATATAATATATAAATGCCTTTTCATTGCTAACTAGCAATAATGATTTAAGTCTACATAGGTAATATAAAATATTCTATCCACAACTAAATTTACAAGAAAATAATTCGAATAAGATCCAATGGTGAATTTGTGTTAGTCTAACACCACTATAGAATATCTAAAATAATTATTTCAATATTTAATTTACAAATGACATCAGCGATACCAATGGGGCTGGCCAAAACAAAGACATGTCGAGAGTTATCGTTAATTTCTCATAGTCCCCTTCTAGATGCTGGTCAAGAAAAAATTCTCTTCAGCCTTAGCGATCGGCTAGCTCCCTTTTCATTTAGGGAAACTGGTCTCATCCATGGATACAAATCGGGCGAAATATATCGGGACCTGCTTCAAAACGGCATCAATTGTTACTGAATGCCAAGATTGTGGCACACATTTTGCAGAATCTCGTTGGTGATAATGTGCTCAACTCTCTCATGAGAGATTCCCACAGCACTGGCAAATATGTCGAGTGGTCAGCCATCACCATGCCATGCACCCGGGTAAGATTTTCCAGAAAGGTTGCTGCTGAAGGCCTTCCTAAATGCGGACCATCATCAAAACTCTGACATGCTTGAATTAAGCAGCCCACTACTTTACGTAGAGATCATGTTTAAGTTAGCCTGTTTAGTTGCCACGGGTGATTTCAATGAATAGGTTCAAATGATGATCTGATACAAAGAAATTAACAAGCACTAGAGTTGAAGTTCCGGTGTCTATGTTTCAATAAATGATTTTAATTGACGGTGGCAAAAGTTTGTTTCGATCCGATCCAAGCATAAATCTTTTAGTTGTATTGGTATAGCAAATATTTTTCTTTAATAGATACATCATTTCTCGCTATAACATTTCTTTGTGGTGCTATCAGCCATCCCAACTCTCTAGAACATGTATTAAAACATTATATAGACACAGCTTTATGGAACAACAATCACTGGTTAAAGTTTTATAAAACGTTTCGACGTGTTTCCGCCGTCGTCCTCAGGCACATATCGTAATCACAATTGTTAAATGCCATTCAAAGACTTTATGTATTAAAACATTCAATATTTTGAAAAAGCGTCTTTGCATGTATATGTAAATTGTCGGTTGGGAAAATTTGTCTGGTCAATTGTCCGCGGTAGAAATGGAACGACGTCGAAGCAAGCTAATGTTACCTTTCGATAATATTGGCCTAGCACCAAGTATCCAAACAGTAAAATTAGTCTAAGAGATGGAACGGTTTAAATTGGCCTTTCCGGCATGTGTTGTGGCCCACTATATTGGATTGCAATACCTCATTCAAAATATGGACTTTCAATAAGATCGTCGATATACGTCTCTGATCCTAATAATTTGGTCACAAGATAAAATGGTACGAGTAAATTCGCCAGAAATGTATTGGTGCTGGGGCTCAGATTTTGTACTCAGAAAATTTGAAGAATTAAAAAACTCATTTCTGATAATTTTGAAAATCTATATTTTTTTTGATTTTGTACAAAGACACTGTAAATAAATCAATCTCTGCTTAACTGAAGCCCCCACCCTAACAGTAATTTGTCACAGAATAGTATGGTCAAAAGAAAATTTATCACAAGGTAATGTAACAAAGTAAAGCAGTATAGTTCGAATGTATTTTATTGTACTGTACTGGCCAGAGTTTTGAAAAAATAAGACACATTGGATCATCTACTGACTTATTAGGCGAGTTAGCGAGTACCGGGCCTGCAGTCTAGATTGGAATATGGACATTGTCTAAGATTTCATCATTATAAATGATCACACCAAATTTCATTTACACCGGATGAAAACTGTAGTCTCTATTGTGTTCACAAACAAATTTTGACGCGTTTTCGTAAGTCAGGGGAAATTACTCAAAAGATCGTCAAATTCGAACTAGTCCAAGATCTCATCAATATAAATGATCACACCAAAAAATTTAATAAAATTCAGATAAAAACTGTAGTCTCTATTGTGTTCATACGCCAATTGTGAACGGGCGGACGGACTGACGGGCAGACAGGGGCGACACAAGAAAATGTGGGCGTATAAAAACTGTAGTCTCTATTGCGTTCACAAACCGATTGTACGGGTGTACGGACAGAGGCAACAACAATATACGACCTCATTATAATAAAATGTAACATGAAAATAAAAGGTAACATGAAAACACACGAAACAAGACATCTAGATCTAAATTTTAATCAGATTGTTTACAGTACTACTGTACACTCATAGCATGAAGTCGATTCGACAGTTTTTCAAGAGCTTGTTGTATTCTACCAGGATTTATTAAAAAATCCACAAATAATGTTTTTTCTCTCATTAATAAATTATCTTTCTGTAATGCCTGAAAACCAAACCATGAACAATTTTACAGATAAATCAACAAAATGAAACAGTTGTTAACAAAAAATTTTACTTGCATAAATAAAACTTTAAAATCAACCAAGTGTTGAATTAAAAATACAAATTGAAGATTTTTTTTAATAGAAGTGAAACAAATAATCCTCTTTTACATACAGGTAGATTTTATATATAAATGAATACTTACAGCTTTCTTATTATTAATTTCTCTTAGCTTTTCTACAATAGAAGCTTCGAGTTTTTGTAAAAGATCTTCTAGTTGTTTGATAGATTCTTGAACATGTGGTGGACTAAGTACAGGATGACCACTAGTTGTACTGGATCCTTTATAAATAGTCTCTTCACATGTCTTTAAATTACTCTCTCTACAAATAGTAAACAAATTGTCACACAGTTCATTCTGGTAACTCCTGTGGTGATATAAAATTTCTCTTATATTAATAAGAAATAATGTGGAATGCCCATACTTTTACACAAGTTAAGGTTGACTGGTTTCATTGATTGTATTATATCGAAACAACACTCATTTGGTCCAATGGTATTAACATTGGAGAAGCAAAACTGTTATGTGCTATGATGAAAATTTAACCGTTGTTATATTGGCTTATTTTCTTCAATGTTGACATCAAACATGTACATGTATAGCTAATTCAATTCAGGTAAATTTGTTATTTTTGCCTATCAATTGTTGATAAAAAATACATAAAGAACATAATGAATTGTTACTTACAATAAGTGTATCTTATCATAATATTTAGTAGCTGTACTTAACATTGTGGTTTTAGATGCTTGATGACAATGATGTAATTTTTCACCACCTTCTAATAAACTACTGTAGGTTAAAAATAACTGTTTCTCATCATTATTAGTAGGACCTTGATCTAGCAAAATACCATACAACAATTAAATTACATTGTTAATTTACAATTTACTCCATTATATAATCATTATCAATAATCAGATACTTGTCATACTAAGCTAGACTAACAATGATAAGTAATCTACCATTGACAAATGAAGTAAGAACTATTTAGGCACAGAATACATCGAAATATAGTACTTTCTTCATGACCATGGCCAATGCTTAATTAGAGAATTGTCGCTATTTTTTTTAACACAAAAAAATGATTTTTCAAATTTCATATTTTTCTAATTGACTGATATTTGGTGGACTCTCAACAGTTTCACATGGTTCTTTAAGAATAGTCACCTACCACTTAGTTAATTACGTTAACATATTTAATTACTCATTAGTTTAATAAAACTGTACCTATTATTTGATGTAATCTAGAAGTAGATGTATCTCTAGTATCTATGGTACCACGTTCATATTTATTGCTAGTCAATACAGGATCTTCCATAACACTCTATAATACATTTACATCAATTCATTAAAACCCTTAAAATCCATTAAAATTAATTTAGAAGTTAAACGAGACTTAACTGTAAGTTGAAGTTTGACTGTAATTCTACCGTACCACTGACGAGCTTAGAGAGCGTGCGCCAGCTAGCTCTCATTCTTCAAAGCAAGAAGGTTTCAAGAAGCAACACCAATGAAAAGGGCGGTAAACTCAAAAACAACTCTATCAAAAAACAGGGAGGGCACATGATCTCTAAGCTCGTCAGTGGTATGGTAGAATTACAGTCAAACTTCAACTTACAGGTAAGTCTCGTTTAACTTCTTAATTCTACCATACCACGTGACTCCGCTTAGGAGATCACGTGAGAGATTCAAAGTTGTAAACCTTCTGCCCATTGCTAAGAAAAGGATCAATTCCTCCAGATTCTGGAGAAATGAATAAACAAGTATTAAAAAACTTAAAAATATTTATTTATCCAAATAACACTGACACTTTTACATATTCATATGACCATTCAATAAAGCATCACTAAAATTAGAACTGTTTAATAATGGCTTATTATAAAATTTCTGAAAAGTGGATTCCGATGTCCATCCTCCAGTTTCCAAAATTGTATTAATTGGTACATCAGCTCTTTTAGCAGCACTGCATGAAGAAGATCTATAACTATGAGAGGTAAAAACTGAAGAATCAATTCCTAACAATTCAAGAACAGCCTTAAGCCACCTTGCAATAGTATCTTTGCTAACTTCTCTGTGGGGTTTAATAAAACTTAAAAACAGTTTAGAGTTGTCTCCTCTGAAATGTCTAGTTGTCTCTAAATAATGATTTAATGTATTTACCACACACAAATCTTTATCAGGAAAACTATTAATCAAAATATCCTTTTGATGAAATCCTGGACGAGTCTGTTTGAGTAGACTCCCAAACGAAATTTTTATATGATCTTCGAAAATGACAATATCCTTCACAGTTAATAAATAAATCAACTGGACTCTTGGTCCTGATAAAATTGCAAATAAAGCAACTAACTTGTATGTTAACATCTTCAATGATAATTCACTTAAAGGAAAAAGACTTTTCACGAAAGTTAACACCATATTTAAATCCCAAATCACAGAATGTCTCGGTAATGACGGTCTTAAATTAAAGACCCTTTTTAGAAATCTAATAATGATTGGATGTGAACCAATTGGCTTATCACTAATAAACAAAATAGTTGAAAGCGCACTCCTGGCAGTATTTAAGGCACTGTACTTCAGGCCACTATCAAATAAAAAAGTTAAAAATTCAATAACTCTGTCTAAAGAGTCTTGTCTTGTATTGTGATTTTGTTGAATTGCTCCATGAGGACATGAGGATTTCTTTAGCTCTTGAAGAAATGCTGTATTTAATGAATGATCTCCTGATATAAGAAGAGATAACAGCTTCATTTTTGGAAGTTCTGTGGTTTCCTTCGTAGGATGGCTCAATATCAAATCTGTGCTAGGCAATAGAAAAGGAGCATGAATTAATAAATGAACAAGTTTAGCAAACCATGATTGAGTAGTCCACCATGGTATTATCATAATGGCTTTAGATTTTTCTTGTACAATTTTGTTTAATACTTTCCCAATCAAACAAAATGGGGGAAATGCATATATAAACTGACCCTGCCAAGAACAAGAGAAAGCATTTACTCCCTTGGTCATAGGGTCTGGCTTAAATGCAAAGTAATCCTGCAACTGAGCATTGATTCTGGATGCAAAGAGATCAATCTGGGGTGTACCCCATATAGAAGTTAAACTACGGAAAATATCGGGACTTAAATGCCATTCAGTATTATCATCGCATGATCTGCTTTCTCTATCGGCATCCACATTCAACACACCAGGAATATATGTTGCTGTAAGAATAATATCTCTTTCTATGCACCATATAAAAATTGAACGAGTGAGATCATTATAAGCTGAAACCTTTCCACCTTGGGAGTTAATATAAGATACAGCTGTTGTATTGTCTATTTGGATCTGCACATGCACATTTCTTAAGTTTCCAGTAAAAGTCAGTAAAGTTAACTTTGCAGCCAACAGTTCCAGGAAATTAATGTGGTTAGAATTTTCATCTAAAGACCAAAAACCACCAGTAGTTTTCTTATGTTCACCTGATAAAAGTACCCCTCCCCACCCTTTTTTGGATGCATCAGATTGTAAAATTACTGAGGGGTTACTTAACTTTAGTGATTTGAAAGTCAAGTTTACAATATAAAGGTAATTTAGTTTTGAACTCAAAATTTCCATATGCATTTTTTAATGCTTTAGTTTTAAAATTGTCACACTGACGATAAAATAATTGTGCATAAAACACACCCGGGAAAGCTGAAACCATTAGCCCTATCACCTCTGCTAACAAACGAATTGAAACTATATCTTTATTTTTCAACCCAGTGCATGCATTTTTTTTCTTCAGTGATTTCTCTGCAGTCAGCCTGATAGTCATATCTGCAGAATTTATAACAAAACCCAAATAGACAATATATTTAGTAGGCTGTAAGATTGATTTTTCTGGGTGTAAGGTGAATCCAGCTTGTAATGATACCTTAATCGTATCCATAATATTTTGCTGACAATCCTGAACAGTTTGACCTACTAATAGGGAGTCATCAATAAATGAAGTGTTTGAATGACCCATCTTATGCAGATGAGAGAACAAGACTTTAGTGAGCTTTGTAAACAGTCTTGGAGCAGGACCCAAACCCATAGGCAGACAGGTAAAACGATAAAGGCGTCCTTTGTAATAAAATTTTAGAAATTTTCTACAAGATTCTTTCATAGGTACAGAGAAATATGCATCACTCCAATCAATGGAAGCTAAAAAACAATCTTGAGAAACTAAATCAATGGCTTGTTGTAAACAGTCCATTTTAAAATGTCTGTAAGTAACATGTTCTTAAGTCTTTAAGATCTAAAATTTTTCTAAGTGATCCATCCTTCTTGGGACGTGAAAAAATGTTAGAAACATATTCATCATCTTCATGGAAACACCTTTCGATTATCTGCTTGCCTACAAGTTTGGATACAGCTAAATGAAATTTTTGCTCAATTTTGGGTTCTATAATAAAAGGATAGGGAGCATATTGTTGACAGGGGAAGTTATCAAATTCAATTGATGCTCCACACACTGTGTTGAGAATAAAATTATCACCAGTGAGACTTCTCCAAAATTGTAAATGATTTTTGAGCTGACCTGCCAAGAAGCCATCTTTCAACAAAAGTAATTGGGAGACAATTGAATGAGAGAACAAATCCCAGTCACCACAAGAAATAATATCACATACCACATCATTTAAGTTTTGCTTTTCTTGTCGTGGGTTTTGGATGATGACCACTTGCTGGTTTGGTTGGATCCCGCTCCTCTGCGGGGGGCTCTTTTCCCTAAAAAAGACTTGCCCTTGTAGTTGGAAGAATATCTGGAATTTCCCTTGAAATTGGTATTATCGGAATAACTATTCCCAGAAGGGCTGTAATATGACATTCCTGAGCCCATTTGATTAGTTTCTTTTAGTTCTTTCATTTTCTTTGGTAAATCTTCACCAAAAAGATACTTAGATGCACCAACTTCTGAGTTGTTAGCAGCACTACACAATAGACTTGAAAGCCGAAAATTAGAATCTGAGCGCATGGTATCACGTCTATGCTGATTCAAGTCCTTTACAGCCTTACCTAACAAGGTTAAGGCATCTAAACTCTTTTTGATAGCACTGGTAACTTCAGTTTGTTTGTCCAGAGGTGCAGATGTTTTGAATTTCATCAAATCATCAGTAAGACCAGTAAGTGCATAGGAAGATAGCACAATCCTGTCACTCAACCTCTGCAACTTAACCTCAGTGGTTCTAGTAGGAAATTTTCTTAATATGCCCCACACTTCTTTGTTTACTCTGGTCGAGTAAATAGCCACATTACGAGGTCTTGGATATTTTTCGATAAATTAAGTCATTGCTGTTTCTGCCTTGGCACTAGCGGCCGGGGCTGGTCCAAAGAGATTATCAATAATTTTAGCTAATTTGGGCAGAACCTCTTTCCCAGATTTATCATCAAAGGAATACTCCTCAAACAAATCATTTACAAAATCTTCAGCAAGACCCTCTTCATCATTAGAGTTACCGTCTATATTGTTCAACAAATTGTCAATTTGATCAATAACATTGTCATCATCTTCGACCTCTCCTTGTTCTTGATCCATACAAGGTATTTTGAAGCGACTTTGGGTGAGTACGGCTCTGTTAGAAACCACCGAATCTTCGGAAAGTTCCCCGTCTGACATTTCATGGGCAGCGCCATGTTTGTTGTGATGATCAGCAGCAATTTTCCTTTTCCTGTCGCTTACATCATGTACAGTAGAGCTAATAACCTCCGTAAATAAATTCTTTATTTCAGATTTGAATTTAATCAACTCGCTTTCTAGATAATCTTTAGAAATTCCCTCCGTTGCAACAGGAGAGGTAAAACCTGTATTTGTTGGAGTAATATTAATACCATTATTGTCCTTGACATTGGCCACAGAAGCAGATGATTGAGAAAACTTCACGTCTCCTTTACAGGCAAATTGCTCGGTTTTTCTGCTGAATCTTTCTTCTTAGTATTGAGGTTCTCGTATTTATTCTTATCGAATAAAGCTTCGGCCAGATTGAATTCAAAAGATTCAGATTCTTTGCTGGGCATGGAAGCCACAGCACGTTTCGACGAAACCGTTGCCATTAGTTAAAACAGAGAGAGTCTAGTTTTTTAAAAAATAAAATGTCCAAATCCTTCGAACCAAGGATGAAAGGCAAGGCCAAGTGACGAGATTTAAAATCAACGTCTGGACAGTTACACTAATGTGAAATGATTGACAAAAGCCTGCACAGAAAAGAAATTTTTCAAATGCAGCGAGAAAACTTGTCACACGGTCTTGACATGGTGAAAGCCAACACGCTAATGAGAACTAGCTGGCGCGCGCTCTCTCACGTGATCTCCTAAGCGGAGTCATGTGGTATGGTAGAATCAAAATCTCTCTTGAGATGAAAGACAGACAGTCACAAAGGAGGGGTTATAATAGGCACAAGCCTGTTCCCTGATCATACAAAAACATAAATTTTGTCCTACCATTCTATTTTTCCATTCTTTCAGATGACTTTGAAGTTGAAGCCTTACTGCTGTTAAATGTCTATGAATATCACGATGGTGTCTAGCCTCCACTTCATAAGCAATGGTCAAAAATTCATATCGAGCTTTCTGACTTATCAACAGATTTATAAGCTGAAAAATACAATGTTGATATTATAGTATTGAAAGCCTTTGAATTATTATATATTTGTTATGTTCCACTTTAGTCGATAATCTGGTTTTTGATCTTGAGCTAATAAATATTTACAAAGTCACATTAGGTTCAAATGAGCCAATCATACCCTTCTCAATACTGCCTGTTTTGTAAATTGTACAAATGCAAAATTGCCTTATACTCAGCTATTTGGAAAAAGGGAACCGTAAAAAACCTGCTTGCTCTTAGAATTTCATTAACTTCATAAATAATCAATAATTTGCCACTCTTTTGGAAAATTAGCTAAATTTTGAGAGAAAAGTTATAATATTAATAAAAAGTTATACCTTATCCTGATTAGAAGTGAAGTAATCTTGTCGAGCCAGTTTTAGATTATAATCCCCAGTTAAAATAGGATTGCCTTGTAAGGGAACTAACTCTTTTACTAATAGTGGCAAATCACCTTCCTTTGCATTATGTAAATCTCTGCGTACATTTTGTAAACTAGACTGAGCTTCTTGTAGTTGAGTACTAAAATACAAAAACATACAAATAAGCAATAAATCAAAATTTGGTGAAGGCAATGGATATTATTACATTCCACTTATTTCAAATTATAAAGCAAAAGGCAAAACAGGTATTCATGAAATACAAACTAATAAATGCATACAATAAAACCAATTAATTGGGTGGGCAGACAAGGACTTGGTTCTAGTGAAGTTTTAGTCTAAAAAAAATAGGTATGTCACCACTTTACACATGAGGAGATTTCTCTCATGAGGACAGTGATTTGGACAGCAAATTGCATGTTATAAACACATACTGCACAGTACAACTGGTCTAAACTTGAATCTGTAGTTGCCCTAACCTCTTCCATGTGTAGATATGGTTTCATCTGACTCAGGTTTAGTTAGACTGAAGGTATATGTTATTCAAATTAAAACAATAAAAGATCTCACCTAAGTTTATTGGTATCCACTGGAAACCGACCAGATTGTAAACAACTTAATAAATCATCAGCTGAATTTAATGCTCCTTTAACACCTTTATCTTCAAGAATTGCCAGAATCTTGTCACTTTCACTTCGGTTATATCTGTGTAATAAAAAGTATTTCAAAGGAAAACCTGCCCAAAATAAAATAAGCTATAGCTTAAAGCTGTTGAAAAAGTCCCCTTAATCCATGATTCACAAGTAAAGCTGGTAAGTCTGTTTTAATAGTTTAAATCATACATACACATTTTGTAATCTAGTTAATTCTTTACAATCTTGGAAAACATTTTCATCACTTTCACCATGTATTAATAACATTTCTGGATCTTTAACATCTAATAATTCAAATCTTGATCCATCATTTTCTCCAGTCATTCTTCCAATATTCTATATAACAACAATTTTCACAAATCTTATATTGTAATTAATTATTGTAATTTTAAAATGTTACAATCTCTAAAAAATAGAATTCAATGAATAAGCAAAATAATTTTGACAATATAATGTTTTTGCCTCAATATAAAGCACTCAAAATCATGTAAATGATAACAAACAAATAGAAAAAAAATTTACCTCAAAGAATTGCTTTCTTGTAAAAGAAGTGAGTTCTTGAGTATATTTTTCTTCAGCATTAAAATAATCATCTAATTTGGCTTGAGATAAGAACATGATATCTTTTGTTTGACTAGGATCTGTGTTGTCATAAAGAGAAGTTACTTCTTTTACTGAATCTACTAACTTCTCCATACTTTCATTTACCTACAATCAAAGTCTACAGTTATGGTTCATATTATAGTTCATATTGACCAGACTTTTGATTTGACTCATTTTTCAGGCATATCTGTCAGGGTTAGAGAACCACAAAATTTAAGTTGTATGAGATTTTTTTGTATACATGTATCTCAATGCAAATTGGTCTTTATATAGTTGTTATTTTATCCACTTATTTTGGTATTTAAGTAATTTCTCCATGCTTATGTACTAGCAAACCTTATTATTATCTGTTTGAATCTGTTCCAATCGTTTCTTATGTTCCTTTCTGCCATATGACTCTAATGGTGTTAGTTTAGTCAATTTGTGACTCACACTAGTATGATGTAAACTGGAAAAGAAAAACAATCGATGTCACCTAAAAGTAGTATAAAAAAAATTTGAAAAATGTTTTAAAAAAAATCTATACCAATATTAACATAAATGAATTAAAAATAAAATGGTGAGCTGTATAATGTACATTTATGAAATAAGAAATAACAAACCTTAAACGATTCCTTCTTTGTATTAACATTTGTTTCTTTTCTTTATTGTCTTCTAACTCACTATTTAACCTAGTAATATCTTCACTGAAAAAATGTCAGTATTTTAATACAAATCCACTTTTTTCATCTGCTACATAATCTTGTAAGCAATGTAATAATGAGATAGCAATTTTATATATATCTTGGTTAAAATTGAAGCTATGGGCTATTAACACATTTACATGATGTAAATCAAACCTTAATGATTCTTCAGTAATATCAGCATCTCTATTGTTAACAGTTAGATTATTCAGAGCATCTTCAAGTTGTCTCCCTTCTAATATCCCTTCATTACACTTTTCTAATTCATCATATCTATAAAATATACAAATACAATTTTCATATATATTATTCATATTTAATTTCTAATAGCAACTATCAAGTTCTGACTTTTTCACTCTGAAAGGATTTGACTGATCGTCACTAAATAAAAATAGTGATCGACACTATATTACTGATTGACAACTCAAACTTAAAGAAAACTATACAAATTTGACAGACCCCCTTACTACACTGACTGTGGCAAGGCAGGGTATGCTCACCACTGAAAATCACATAATGATTAAATAGGTTAACTCTTTATCCTTCTATCGATCTGTACATTTATATAAGCTTAATACGTATCTTCAAATAACTTACTCATTTCTGTCAGAAGCAGACAAAACATTGTTAGAATGTACATTGTTAGAAAACCAATGTAAAAATGGCACAATATTTTCTTGTTCAAATAACCAATCAAACATCTGTGGATCAAGTTTTTCAGCCCCTGGGTAACCCAATTGTTGTAGCGTTTCTAAGAATTGAGATCCACTCATTTTCATTTGTTAAAAAACTTAAAAAAAAAATAAACAAAATATGATCAAACTGGCCCACTCTTATTGCCTAAGTAAATATTTGTCCTACAAAACAATATCAAAAGGAGATAAGATTTGAATGGCACTCAGAAGCAGAGAGAAAATATGACAATGAACACAAGTGAATATATTATGGTATAACACACATAAAGTCTCGACACAATTTACAAGTGTCGTCATCAGATGACAATAAGGTAAAAGTGAGTGTAATCTTAGCTAAATTTTATTCTGTGCAAGTCCTTGAATCAGAAGGACTAGTCAAAAGTAGCATGTCATATATTCATATGTACAGTCAAGTAACCTAATTTCGTGGAAACCTATTATTTGTGGATTTCCGGAAAGGATTAATAATTTACATGAGAGACCTTGCGTGACCTCCGCATTAGTTTGTTTTAATAATCATGGGTTTTCTCTACAAAATCAGCTGGTAGAATGAATCCAGTAGTTTCAAGCAAGGTAAAATGTATTAATGTATACTTTGACAAATACAAAATGGCGGATTTCACTTACTACCAAACGTCACCATTTTTTATCGGCCGAATTTCCTTATAACCCCAAGTGGTAATCAGAATTCCAAGTGTCGTCTGCTAGAATGTAGTCCAACGAATGAAGTCACATGATCAACTAGCGGATTCTGTGTCAGCAGAAAATTTCTATGGAACACAAAGTGGACCATATTCTTATGTTGTTTCAGTGACTTTTAGCAATAAATCACGCTACGTATCTTATTTTGTCAGTCACTATATTTTTTTTAAATCATGGTTCTTTGAAGGAATTGTCACTAGTTATAATGAATTGATATTAAAGATAAATACTAAGAGAAGTTAATTATACCACCCGGTATCCATACAACGTGTTTTTCTAGACTTATTTATAGATCAAACATTGTACACGAAAATAGGTGATGCATTCTGTCGCCGTTGCCGAGTTGGATGCTCATGAAATATAGGTCAAAGTGAAAGATTCATTAAGAAAATCGAAATAAACCAATTTTAATTATTTTGTAGAATATCTGAGGAAACATCTAAGACATAAACATTTTTTTTCGTTTTTTTAACTTTGACGAAATTTGGTGTTGAATTCTTATATCCACGAAAATAGGTTACACCACTGTATATGTTTTTTTAAAAATGCACAGATGTGCAGATGTGAGGAAAACAGGGCCTAACTATTTTCTAACTCTACACCGGCTGACAACCTGTCAAAATAGTTATCAAAGGTTGGACAGTGGAATAGATGCAGAAGTTTCGGACTGCATTTTTAATAGCATAAAATTTAGTATACTTCCTAGAATAACAATAATAGGCCAAAATCTCATTAATATAAGACCAAATATAATACAATCATGACTTGTCAGTGACGTACCTTGCCTTAAGTTTATCAATTTAAGTCAATTTAAGGTATTTTATGATCAACTTGCGCAAGTCAAAACATAAAAGTTGATTTTTCCGCCATGATATATCACATGACACTCTGCTGCCAGATTTCATAATCACTCAAATTTAGTACATTTGCACATAGAACAGTATACAGTTTTATGATTTGCACATAGAGTCCTATGATTTACATTAAGAAAGTAATGACGCGGGATATCATGGTTCGTTAATTGTATTATTTCCCGACACGGACAACACGAAAATTGTCAATACAATATCTTGTTTCATTTAGCAATCCATGATGTAGGTATACCATAAAACCACAATCTGGCATTACAGCATTAATAAAAAAAACGTTAAAGGTTTCCTTTCCGTATCTAACAAATAACAATGAGAATGATTAACCACTAAACAACGGAACAGAATGTTAATTTTGAAATGTCCGTCCGCTTAGGGATGAAGGAGATGAGCCTTACAGCATCCATTAATAGCTGTCTCTCGAATTTTTATCTATAGATCTATAGGCCCCCTGTCGTCTCTTTAAACTTTTGACATAAGTAGTATTCTGTTTATCTACTAAATTTCGTTACTGGTGACCTTGGCTGGTATTTCCATAAATGACATCTTCCAAAACATTTAAATACCAATGAATTTATTCCACTGTGATTGCATGAATCCATGCTTCTTTCTAAAGCGTTGCTAACTCTGATTGCTTTTTATTTTATTTAAAAGGCCTATACATGAAAATAATCTTCTATCTTTCTGTCAATGAAAGTGCACATATCCCTTTGCAAAATAATGAGTTGATGTGTTGATATGGTGTTACTTTTACCATGTGAGGTTAGCTCACTTAATGATAAATTTAATTTTAATGCAAGCAATTCCAAAATTTGTGAAAAAGTGAATTATATACAGGTATATAAAAGGTTTAATAAGAAAACTACTGTAACTAGATTAATGGAGGAGTTATTACACATCACATAATATGGGCAAAATGCTATTATACTCTTGAGAGTAAACACCTATACTTTTAAAAGGAAAAGTAAAACAAAAATAAGTTTATAGAATATTTATTACAAAAATAATACTGCCTTAATAAAACTCTGTACATAAATAGGTATGAAAAAGTACATGCAGATTGATTTCCATTATTAATAATATATGTTTTAAAAACATTATTCATTTAGATGTTAGGTGTAACAAGCATGATCATGTTGAAAAATATAATTAAAAAATAATAAATTAAGTTATCACAGTTTTAATTGTTAAAATCATTTCATGTATATACAAAACAAATACGAATCATAGTTTAGTCTCAGAAATGCGATTTTTTTTTAGCTAAGCCAATCAGTAATAGTGTTCACAGCTCACCATCGAATTTAGAGCCTTCAGTTCCATGAGTGTCCAGAATTATCTGCTTTTGAACGAGATACTTTGCGATATATAGAAAAGATATATATAGAAATTGTGAGTAAAATTCCTACTTTGAAGTACTTTTTATGTGATTTTTTTTTTATACATTTCTAGTACTTCTACATATATTTAACATTCAAATCAATCCCCAAAATAACACACCTGTCCCTTTAACAACCACCTATTTATCAATAATTGAAAGCAATGTTAGTTTTGACATTTAACATTTGATCAAAGGAATTTGAAAGAGCTGCCAACAAACATCTAAATCTACATAATCAATTAGAAATTAAAGAAATTCTGATGTTACTCAAATTGAATTGAAAGATTTTTGAATAGGCCTTATATATTAAACTATATTTATTTATAAAGAAAAAATAGAACGTTTTTAGTAAGATGATAGAATATATAATACACTAAAAGTGTTGGAGCAAGAATCCTATCTGATAAAAAACCATGTGGAATTCTTCAATAAGTTTCTGTAAGATTTGCCAGCACACAACTACTGACATACATAAACACAACCTCTAGACCCATATTTCATTCATTTATAGGCGGATACGGAAAGAACTGAAATAGAAAAGACTAGAATAGAGAACTTGATCAATCATATTATTACTTAATCTTTCAAGGTATAATTAACTTTGAAATTAAAAACCTTAATGAAAATTGCTTCAAAACTTAAAGAGATCTGTAGCAGGAGTTAATCTTTATTTTCTTACCTAAATAAGGAATTATATGAAAATTGGTTGAAAACTGAAAGAGCTATCACATTCAATATACGATCTTATGGGTGATAATATGTTAGTTAATAATCATAAGCACTCCAACTAGATCTTCATTGTATACATTTGCCAAGAAACAGACACAGATTCCAGATAATTGTTCAAATTGCAACATGATATTCCTTTTTAAATTGAATAAACAAAAGTTAAAGAAAAGCAAATTCAGGAATATAAATAAATATTCAGGAAAATGTGCATAATAATAACCTTACTTGATAAAATCTGGTGCTTTTGATATAACATGTTCAAACTCAGCAAAGGACAATAATTCATCGTCGTCAAGATCAGCTTCCATAAATATCTATTAATATGCATTAAATTGGAATATATTGAATAGAATTATTCAAACAAATGTCTGAACAGATTTCATTTATCAAAATCAAAATTCATTAAGAAACAGGAGCTCAAAGCTACAGTAAGATAAAAAAAATTGTAGTCCATATTGCATACAGTGATCATCAAGATTTACACAAAGAAATCATAATCTATGATGCAGCCCATGTCATGCCTTCAAGTTCATATAATACATGTAAATAGAAATGTTAAATCTCTTACATTGTCAATCAGTTGTTGCATATCTTCTTCTGATAATTTCTGATCTCCAGTTAATTTATCAATAACTTCTTTTAAATCACCAGCAGAAATATAGTCATCTTCATCAAAATCTGGTAAAACAAATTCTTAAATTAAACACTATAATTGACAAGTAATTTAAATCATTAGTCACAACACATTCATATTTCACACTCCCTTCACATTAAATGTAAGACAATTGGATTGGACATTCAATTTTAGTCAAATGCAGTTGAACTGCATTAGTATCTTGATGATATTAATTTCAATCTTTATTCCATTGAGAGAGGAAGTATTAGAAGTTTAAAATCCTCTGTATGCAAAATATGAAAATATCTTTACAAATATATATTCTCTTACCTACCATAGATTCTAAAGGCATATTCAACTTTAACATTTTTAGGTGCCTGATCACTGAAAACTGACATCATGTCCAGGAAGTCTTCAAATGTCATATCTCCATCTCCACTGGACGAAAATACCTTACAGATCCTTTCTCGGAATGGATTAACCTAACAATAAAAAAGCAAAATCACTTTCCGATCATTTAATGGATTTTCCAAGCTTTTCATTCATATTTGTGGCTGCACTCTGATAAAAATATCCTATGATCATATTTTACATTATTGTTCTTAGCCATTTTGTTCTTCAAGTATAGGCCAAGAATCAGAAAAAAAATTTCATTTTTGTTTATTCTAGCAAAATATGTCTTTGATAAGCCACACCTCATACCTTTAACTCTGGTAATTTCTGAATATCACTAATACCAAGCTTTGTGTTCTTGTCTTGATTTACTGCTTGAGGAGCCAGTGTGAAAAATCTTTTATAAACACTATTTTAAAAAAAACCCAAAAGATTAAGTTTTACGAAAATCATTTTATGATTTGTTTACCATTAATTGGCAACATAAACATAAATCCAATGAAGTATCATTATGAGAAGCAAATAAAATAAAGAAATGAGATAGGTAATCAAAGTCATCCACAATGAATTGTAATGGAGTTGTAATTTAAAATAGGGCTGGGCAGACTACCGATCAATAACCAATTCAATTGAACGACCCTGTAAATACCAATTTAAAAACATGCCAAAATTCTTGATTTCATGGGTAATTTTTGCATCATAGAAGTTTATTCTTGTTTTGAAAGGTTATTATAGTTTATTGTGGGTATGTTATGTGCTCAAGAGAAACTACGTGTATGAGATTACTACTTGTTAACGGGTACAATGGAGAAAATTCAATATTTGATAATCAATAATCGAAATTATAAATTCCTAGCGACGATAATCGATTATTTCGATCATGTTACCCAGTCATAGTTAAAAATACTTTCCTGAATACCTGTCATAAACCTAACAAACAATAATTTCAATACTTACTGTAGAATTTCTTTCTTTGTCAAGTAAGTCAATGTCTGAAGAAGAGAAAAAGGTTTTGACTTCACAAATTAGTAAGTTAAACCTTAAAGGGAGATTCTGTTTAAAATCAATGTGAAGAACTGGGCTTTTTTTAATTATATTTCTATGTTTCTATACATTTTCCTGGCCACCAAGCAAATATTTCAAACATCAAATTTGAGGAGAGGACTTAGATATTTTAGTTGAAACTTTCAAATAAGTTGAAGGGCATATTTCTCTGTTTACAGTTTTAAGTATTTCACTCTTTACGCCTTAAATACCGGTTAAAAAAGTGATCAAGGGTACAAGACTGGATATCAGAAAAAACTACTTCTGTGATTGTGCTATCGACAACTGGAACTCGCTACCAGGACTTGCAGTCAATTCATTTACACTGAACTGATTCAACTCAAATCTAAACCTGGCATGGAAAAACGATTTATGGAAATTCAATTTATAACGTAACTATATGTAGCCTACAAACTGAATAGATAGAACAAAAAGCAACATATGCACACTCCTAACTACATATTGTACGGTACTCATTAAAGTGCATGAAATTTTAGAACTTTATGGTGGTCAAGAAGTCAACAAGCTTATTAAAAGGCTGGTTTACAGTAAGATACGGTAAGTATCTATAAATTTCACTACCATCATAGTATAAATCATTATATATACAGTCAAGTAACCTAATTTCGTGGAAACCTATTATTCGTGGATTTCCAGAAACGATTAATAATTTACATAAGCGACCTTGCGCGACCTCCGCATTAGTTTGTTTTGATAAACATGGGTTTTCTCTACAATATCAGCTAGTAGAATGAATCCAGTAGTTTCAAGCAATTTAAAATGTATAAATGTATACTTTGACAAATACAAAATGGCGGATTTCACTTATTACCAAACGTCACCATTTTTTATCGACTGAATTTCCTTATAATCCCAAGCGGTAATCGTAATTCCAAGTGTCGTCGGCTAGAATGTAGTCCAACGAATGAAGTCACGTGATCAACTAGCGGATTCCGTGTCAGCAGAAAATTTCTATGGAACACAAAGAGCACCATATTCTTATGTTGTTTCAGTGACTTTTAGCAATAAATCACGCTACGTATCTTATTTTGTCAGTCACTATTTTTTTTTTTAAATCGTGGTTCTTTGACGGAATTGTCACTAGTTATAATGAATTGATATTAAAGATAAATACTAAGAAAAGTTAATTATACCACCTGGTATCCATACAACGTGTTTTTCTAGACTTATTTATAGATCAAACATTGTACACGAAAATAGGTGACGCATTCTGTCGCCGTTGCCGAGTTGGATGCTCATGAAATATAGGTCAAAGTGAACGATTCATAAAGAAAATCAAAATAAACCAATTTTAATTATCTTGTAGAATATCTGAGGAAACATCTAAGACATACAAATATTTTTTTGTTTTTTTAACTTTGACGAAATTCGGTGTTGAATCCTTATATCCACGAAAATAGGTTTCACCACTAAATTATAATGGTATAATTTCATAAAGAAATATATAAAAAAATAAATAAATAAAGACAAAATAAATGGAGCAACTTTGTGTATAAGATTCTTTGAAGAAATAAAAAAAATTTCCATGAGTAAGTAAGGTTAAGTTAAAGATCTTTTGTTGTGTAATACTTTTTGAATCAGACCCCGATTGCCTGAATCCGGATGATTATTTTTTGCCTTGGCTTGGCTCAACTTCTGTCACTGAAAAAATGAGATTGTGTATCAACTATGAGTTTACGAACTAGGCCTACTCATTACTGTAATAATGTAAACTGTTATTAAGACCTGATAATCATCTAGTTCTTGTTCGGTAAATGCACTTTGTGAACCTCCCATTTTAAAAAATGTCTTCCTTCCTTGGTATTTTGATATGGTAAATAGCAAATAATGACAGGGTGCTCGAATGTCTTTCGTGACGTCAGTATGTAAATAAAGATTTTAAGAAAAACGAAGCTATAATAACTAGCTTTCTAAGGAAACAAAGCCTAAAAAGAAATATATGCATATATTGAAATTAAAACTAGAACATGCTGTGTCGACATTCGATATTTCAATTTGTATTAAAACCGTCATAATGATAACTATGTCGTCATTGCGTTTCTTATCATTTGCCATTTCAACATTTTAAAGTAGCCAAACGCAATAAACCGGAAGCTGTCATTTCTCTCAAAATAAACAATATATTTTTTTCTATATTTGCAATAGTTGTGAGTCAGTTTTGTCTGACAAGTTAAAAACAGTTAAAGAAGATGTTTGCTCAAGTTCATGCAAGCACAGGTACTGTTTGCATAATTTTTATTTGTTACAGTTACACATACAATGCGAACAGAACCAGAACTAGGAAGTTTTCTAAATCCAAATCATGCCTTCCATAGCAAATGACAATGAACTAACTGTCTGACTGAATTTTTTCTCTCATTTCATAAATGTTCAAAATATGTTCAACTGTATGCCATGTGTCTTCGGGTCCATAGAAATATTAGGTTGAGTGATTTTACATTTGAAATAGACACACTTCCCTCCCAAAATTTTTTAGTGAAAATTCCCCTCTGTAAAATCATGTGTACAATTAGTAACTTTTCTAGTGGTTGACACTTCCTTCAACCAAAGGCAATCCAAGACTCTCAGTAGGACTTTGTAATTTATATTTCAATTTATGTGGAAATGAATGCCAAAATTAAATCCAGAAAACATTGTAGCTATGGCAGTAAATCTAAACTCAGCTAATAAAGTAAACTTTATAATAGAATAAAATCAGTACAATCACATTATTCATGTTGTGTAAAGAAAAAAATCTTACTAATTATGTATTAAAATTTCAAAATACTATGATTGTACTAAAAAGACATATTTCTTATTTATACTGTGTAGACATGATTCATGGTCAAATTGTGAACTTATTTCTTCATTTTATCCATTGATATTTTTTAGGACAGCCAAACAATCCAGATCTGTATGAAGAAGTTAAGCTTTACAGAACTGCTAGAGACAGAGAAAAGTGAGTTAAAAACAGAAAGATACAAATAAAATCTATTTAAAATGAATTTCTGTTATAACAAACAGAGAAACATACCATGTAGATATTATAATTTACAAACGACATTCCAACAAATAAGCTTACACACTCAAGGAGGAACAATTAAACTATCAAGATCTTAAAATCAAAGTAATGCATCCAGTGTAGGAGTTGCATATAGGAAAAAAAAGCATTTTAATTTTATGTTATTGTAGGTATGATAATATGGCAGATTTATATGCAGTTATTAATACAATTCAGAGTTTAGAGAAAGCGTATATTAGAGATGCTGTTTTACCTAAAGAGTAAGGAAGTCTTCTGTTATCTTAACTAATGAATCTACTACGTTGCGTTTTCAATACATTGGTTCAAGGAATTTTGATTTAGTGCAGATTTTGGTAACGTTGCCATGAAAAAAATTTCACATTAAATTTTAGCAATAATCAGCTTTCAACATTATAGAATCTTAGAAATGTAAAATAAATAATTAAACCATGCGTACTAACATTTCCTGTATTCCTCTGAATTCAGTCTGTGAATTGACTTGACTTTCACTTACACAACAGCATGTTAAATGTGTTTGTATGAACAGAATTATTTATATTTTATTTGAACATTATTTAGATATACTGCAGCATGTTCAAAACTATTAGTGCAATATAAAGCTGCTTTTAGACAAGTTCAGAGTGAATTTACTACTGTAGAAGAATTTATGAAGAAATATCGAGTAAGTTACTAAACTATTTGGTGATTTTCATGTAAGATCAATTTTTTTTTTTAAGGGGCTGTATGCAAAACTTTTGTTATTGAAACATAGTAAAATTATCCATGAAATGATTTTATAAATATGCTATTTATATCCATGTATCTACTTGATCAAACTGAATTTTTTAAATGGAATGACTAATGACAGAGTGTACTAATTGTTAATTTAGCTGTTTTATTTGGCTTTTGTATTTTTAGCCTTAAAATGGCTTGATATTTCTCTACAATTTGGATATATTTAGCTCAAATTCATACATTTCCAACAACCCAAAAACATACTGACTTTAAAATGTTTGCATAAACATTTCAGCAAGTTTATCATTCATTTGACGAATCTTAATTACAGCTCGATTGTCCAGCAGCTTTAGAAAGAATTAAGGAGTTAAGACCTATAACTATTAAGGATGATAAAGGAAATACAAGTAAATGTATAGCTGATATAGTATCGGTGAGTCAATACTAATTAACTTTTGTGTTACGAAAAATCTCGCATATAAGATACTACATACTCTAGAACTACTAGAGAGGTAATCATTTGTAATGTTTAGTCAATTTCAAACTGGCCAATCAAGAGGCTTCGACACAGCCAATTGTAATGTTTAATATTTGTACATATGAACATATGCGAATTTTGTCCTAGAATATTGGTGATTTTACAAATATTAAAAACAAATACTCTCATACTTTCAGTTATTTATTACTGTCATGGATAAATTAAGACTAGAAATTAAGGCTATGGATGAGGTAAGTTTATTTTCTATTATATGACAATTTTTTCATCTTTCAATATTATAATTATGGGTAATGATTAAACTGCAAGAACTCAGAATATTTTGTAAATATCTGCCAAACGACTCACAACTTGATTATTCATGGTTATGCATATATTCATGGCAATTTGAAAAAAATGACTTAACTTTCATCCCCAGATATATCCAGATATAAGAGAATTGGAAGAAACCATGAATAGGTTAAGTATTTTGCCATCTAATTTCGAAGGAAAAGAAACTGTGAAAAAGTGGCTAGATACATTGAGTTCCATGACTGCATCAGATGAACTGGATAATAATCAAGTTCGACAAATGTTATTTGAACTGGAATCATCTTATAATGCTTTTAATCGTGTATTACATGACCACTGAGATTATTACCCTATTCATCAAACAATATGTATGTGGCATAAGAGTGGTCTTCTGCTACCAATAAACTTGTTTTTGTTTGACAGATTTTTTTTGTCTAGATCAATTGTATTTTTTAATGATCGTCTATAAGGTAAACATTCTGCTGTGAAAAGAGTGTAAGCCCTCAGGTTTTATTCAAAACAAATCTTAAAGTAGAAATAGCCCAGTCATCTGATTATTAAAAATCTTATATCTAGTGTAAATTGGTTCATGGAATTATACAGATGATCCAAGCAAAGATATTTGTGCACATTCAGGTTCAATTGGAAAAATTGGACAGAGCCGGCTCTTTTCATAGAGGCAGAATAAATAGTTATTAGTGCACTTTACATTGTGATCATACCTTATTTTTTTTACCTTGAAATAAAATGTAATTTTGAATCACATCCCAATATTCATAAGTATCTCTGCTTGATTATAATTGTTATGTTCTGGGGTTAAAACTCTATTCTTATGACCCGATCAATGCTTTGATTAGTCTTGAGAAAGAAACCATTCTATTAAATTAAATAAGAATAAATAACTTCCTAATGTGCAATCTTGAGAGGTACAACCATTAACATAAATCTTGAACATACTAAAATATGATTTTCTAAATATTATACCGACTGGGGAAGTGTGATTTAAAATAAATAAGTTATGTATATTTATATAAACATTAATATATATGAAATCTTGAGGGGTATCATTATTGGTTATACCCAGAATATTATGTATTTGTATATTTTTGTCTGTTTTATATATTATTTGTAACAAATGTATAGCAATCATAATAAATGTTAAAGACAGAAAATAGAATTCTATTAATAGAACATTTTTATGGGTTCACGTTCAAAACTATTAATTAGTTGACTCTGAATGGAATATCTTTAACTGAAAATTATGAAGATGACTGCATAACTAGAAGCTTCACATCGGTTATATACAAGTTCATAGAATCAAATAGGTACATTCACCTATGATATTGCTTCATCAGCTCATTAGAGCTAAATTTGACCTATTCATAACTCTCTCAAAATAACAAATTCAAGAGTTCTCATTGTAATAGATGCATGCAAGAATGTCAATAACATTCTGGAATTTAAACCAATTTAATGTTAAATTTTGAAGAATTGTGGAAGTGCCTCTATTCGTCGTAACTTCCTTGAAAAAGCCTCAGTTGTTAAACATTTATTAATGATTTATTTATTTGATGCACAGATTTGAACCTAGCTTGGTTCTTCATACAATTTGAGTTCTATTTAATTAGCTTTTCATGCCACAAATTTAAATATTGGTATCAGTGCCAAATTGATTTTGATTTTTACTTTTCTGATGTCCTTATGCACTATATGAAGATGTCCTGAAAAAGATTTAATAATTACTATATATAGATAAATTTTACATTAAAAAACTCAGGCTTATATTATTTTTAATATTACATCCTATAGCTACACAAAAATAGATATGCTATAGTGTATCAATATTAGGCATAACAAACAGATTTGTATACACATGTATACACTTTTAACTTTACATCATCAAATACAGAAGAAATCATGAACATTATTATGAAGCTGTCTTTGAGTGGACAATGTTACAGCACACAAACGCAAATAGAATAAATAATATAATTACCAAATTCTCTTTGGCAAGTTATGTTACTAGGCACTTGCTCCCCCCAATCGACAAGCCATACAACTAGCACTAGTTGGAGGATAGCTTTTGAAATGCACTTTGTAGTCTATTTATAGACTCATTCTTCCCCAATACCATTAATATTTCTGCTACTGGTGCCGCCTTTTTTAATCCACACAATGACATTCTTATAAATGACATATAATGTTTTGGGGAAAGATTTTCCTCCTTCATATGGCACCGTAAAACTTCCAAAACAACATTTTGTTCAAAAACATTTAATTCTTTTAACCTTTCTTTGCAATCGTGCAAAACTTTTTCTGAGTCTATGACTTTTGAGAACTCTTTCAGTTGATCACTGGTGGGCACTGACCATAATATGTTAAACTTTGGTCCAACTAGCTCACACAGATTGGTCACTCTACCCTCTGAAATTCCCCATTCTAATATCCTAACATAATCATTTTCAGACAATAAAAAAGATTTGCACTTTACAGGAAATGTCTCTTCCATTAATTTTTTAGCCTTTGCTACTAATGTTTGCCTATCATCTTTTAGCTTTTTTACCAGTTGTTTTTTGTTGGACTCTTCAAGAAATCTTGGATCCAATCTGCCACTGTTTGATTTTATCAACTTCACATCAAACAAAGAAATTAAGTCTGAGATATTTAATCCAGTAAGATTTTCAGATTTAAATCCACCTCCTACTTTAGTAACGTAATTTATAACAGCTTCTGGAAAATATCCACTTTGACGCAAATATTCAACCTGAATATCATTTTGGCGTTTTGACAACTTAGTTCCGTTTCTGTTCAAAATAAGTGGCAAATGAGCAAACTTTGGAATTTCCCATCCAAAAGCTTTATATAGCATCACATGTTTTGGTGTAGAAGTTAACCATTCATCACCTCGTAAGACGTGAGTTATTTTCATATGATGATCATCAACTACATTAGCGAAGTGATAGGTTGGAAATTTATCAGTTTTTAAGAGAACTGGATCTCCCTCTATGTCAGCTACATTGTGAGAAATAGGCCCTTTAATGAGATCCTCAAAAGATTCATTTGATGATTCCATCTTTAATCTAACTACAAATGGATCCCCTCTTTCATGTCTTTCCCTAACCTCAGTGGATGTTAAATTTCTACATTTATTATCATATCTAGGTTGTTCACCTCTTCGTGCAGCATCTTTTCTTAATAGTTCAAGTCTTTTAGAAGAACAAAAACAATGATAGGCACTGTGATTATCAAGGAGTTTCTTTATTTCATTTTGATACAAGTCAAATCTTTGAGACTGTAAGTATGGACCATAATCTCCACCTATTTTTGGACTTTCATCTGGAATTAATCCAGCCCATTTCAGGTCATTTTCCAGTTTCTGGGACATACCCTCAATACACCTGGTTTGATCAGTATCTTCAATTCTAATAATAAAAGTACCATTATTTGCTTTAGCAAAAACATAGTTATATAGAGCCGTTCTTAAGCCCCCTAAATGTAACATTCCAGTGGGACTTGGTCCAAACCTAACTCGCACCTTGTCATCACGACCAAGACAGTACAATCTAGCAGGACAGTTCGTTGTACCTGCACCTTTCCCTTTCAAATTCAAAGTCGAAACATGTACACCCGTACCGGTATATCTTCGGAGGCATGACCATCGGACCGTCATCACTACTGTATTTATATTTAACGTCTACACCTATCCATAAAACTGTATACTGTTCTATGACCTATCGTAATATCCAATATTCAATTTTTATTCCATTACTTTCCCAGTCTATTTACTATCACAATAACAATCATGAGTACCATCCGCCATACTCTCTGCACCTCGATCATCCAGTGTCAAACAAAAAATTCGGCAAGAGATATTTGCCACGCGCAGAAAGTAGACAAAATTCAAGTTCAATCTATATGAATTCTTTAGGGTTCTGGCACACATTTTATCAAGTGAAAACCAATAAAAGATATTAAAGCTCATTGGTTAGAACCAATTAAAAATTTGAGAAAATTTTGTGTCAATCGAAAAAGTTGAACATAATTATGCAAATTATTCAATCCTCTGATTAACATTCAGCATAGCATTTTCAGTGAGTGTCACATGCAGTTACAGGAGTACAACCAGTCATGTAAAATTAACAGTTATTTTTTTTTAACATAATTTGCCAGCATATTAAATCTCTTGTTTTCTTTATTTATATGAATATTATCCAAGTTAAAATGAACCACAACGTAAATATGTCATTGACTCAAAATTGAAATGATTCAAGTAGGAACAAATCCATTGATCTAAAAAACAAAAACAAATCCATGTGACATGAGAAAATATCGTTTCGATGAAGCATTATGCAACGCTAGTGTCGCAAATAGACCTCTGTACGGAAAATATTGAATATACCATTTAAAGGGACACTTTTGCCAACCGTTTGATCATAGAACAGTATTCAGTTCTATGGTTTGTTCAATCTTGCCGTAGTCTCAGAGACGAGATTTTTTAGTTTAACTAGTAGTGTTCACAGTTTAATGTCAATATTTGAGCCTTCAAATCTATGAGGTACAGAAGTATTCACGTTTGAAAGATAAAATGTAAAAGTATCTGAAGATCATTCACCAAAATCAACACCAGAAAATGGCAAATCACGGTCTATATTTGGTGGAAATAGTGATTAATGATAAATTACAATTATAAATGATTGAATATAGTTTGGATTCTATGGTCATCATCAGATGAGGTTTCAAGTAGCAAAGGGGCATTTAGATTAAAAATTATTAGCAGCTTTTGTGATAGTGACATTATAAATCACTTAGTTTGGAATTGCTATGACGACATCAGAGGTCTGACTGAAAATTGGAATGTACAAAAACTACCAATGTTCACAATACACATTCAAAGATTGCAAAACCTTTTTGTAAACCTCACTTATGAGCTAATAAATCTGTTTTTTTTTCAGTACCTATCAGAGAAAGATATTTGAATTTGGGCCATTGAACAGGATTGATGACAAGGACCCTGTATAATTAAGAATTTGTGATTCCCAGCACATAGTGTTCATTTTCAAAATTGGAATGAGTACTTCGAACTGGGAGACTTCAAATTAGTAGAATAAGAGAACAAATAATATCAAGTTTATTTCAGAAATAACAAATAACAAATCAATAAGTAAGAAGATGACTAAATGAATTATTCTGTTAATTGACTTCACACCTATTAGAAAACCTTTCCGAAAAGTAAAACAACGAAAATGAAAGGTTATCTTTCATGGAGTTAAAGATTCTTATGTTTTATCCTATTCATATATCCTAGTATTTCAAAATACTAGAACAACATAGGGGTTTCCAATTACAAAAAAATGTTCAATTAGAGTAATATATCACAATAAATCATTCAATTTAATTCTAGATAATGAAAAAGGAAAGAATAAGAAATAGAAAAGGAATAAAAATTGATTCAAGCAATATTTTTTACAAAGTTAGAAACAGGGATTTAAAAGAGTATCAATTTTCAAGAAAGGAGACATTTAAATTAAAAATACAGAATTAAAAAAAAAATAAATACAATATTTCAAATGAACTAGAACGTATTTGTTTTGGTCATCTTACTACATTCTTATACCACGTAATTTCATAAAGGGTTTAACTAACAATGGCTGTTTGATCTTGGGTTTAGGTGGGAAGACTTCTGCTACACTCTCTGTTGTTGGAAATCTTTTATTATATATATCAGGATATGTTTTCTGAAACTAAACAATAAAACTTTGATTAGATTACTACTAACAAGACTGTAACATCAACTGAAAGAAAGCAACCACACAGTTCACTTTATCAGTCAAAGTTTATACATAATATGCAGTGTTTTTTCGGGCAACTGTTTCACAAATGATCATTTTCAGGGGGTTGATTTGGGATTTATAAACACTATTGCTGATTAGCTTGAGCTATTTCTCAAACAGATGGTGAATGTGTCCCTTTAATACACATAAGACAGACACACAATTAAACAATGTACAGGAAAACAGCACACAAACCATTTGTCTTTAAATTTCATGATTCAACTGAGAAACATGTCGTAATCTTCTTACCCCCCACCCAGGATGATTAAATATTGGTTATATGATTTTATATCAGGAGAGCCTCACCAATTTTAAACGTTTACGTTTCTCCTTCTCAGTCATATTGGTATCAATTATAATGCCTTCCAGTAAAGACACTAAAGCTTTCTGGGAATTCTCGAATTTGATGTGTTCAAACTGTTCAACTCCAACCTGTTGACAGTAATTTAACGTTGGATCGTTGGGTGAATACATAATCTGAAATTGCACAAAGCATGCCACACTTTAGCAAGCTATAAGCCTGCAAGGTAGACATGTGCACAATTTCTGTTAAAATATTTTGGTGGTATATATTTTAGAGTTCCAAGTTCAAGAACATATTTGTACCCTTTTCTTCAAAATTAAAGAAACTGCTTCCAATACCATGGATCCATCACACCAAATAAAAGCATTGCAATTGGCTTGTGCCATGGAAAACAAAAAATCAACTACCACCAAAAACAAAATAAAAATTGTGCACGCCTGATCCACTTGCTTTCAACATAAATTAAAATAAAAACCAAAAAATAAAAAAACAAAATAAAAGTATAAGGAATGTGTTAGTAAAAATATTCAAGTTCAAAGTTAAATTTAAATGAAATAGGTTAATTTTCATTACTTTATATCACTAAATATAGGCAAATCTATTAAAAAATTTTCCCACTCATATCTAAAAGTAGATTCTAATTGATGAGATAATTTGGATGTATCATGAAGTGAAATATCTTTGATTTTATACCCTGCAACTTGTTGGCAAAAGATTGAACGTAATGCATAAATGTAATGAGAGAATACAAATAAAACTTTTAAAAATCTTCTCAATTGTAGATTAACAATATTTGAATACCAATCATCTAAGTTAATCATAAAAAATGTTGGCACTAAGTTTTTATTTTGGTACATGAATAGTGGAAATTATTAACTTTTTCCAATAGTGAAAACAAAGCCTAATTTGCAACTTAAACAAATTTTGTTTCCTGGGACTTATTATTGAAAATTCAAAATTTTTCAGTTTGTTTTAATATTCTAAATATGCCATCCATGCATTATATTAATATGCAAGTTTACGTTTTAAATTATTAAATTATTATTATGTGCTTTTTAAATGCTACATACTATTGTGATATGGATATATATTATAGGATTGGGTTTCAAAATTAAAGGTAAATGCAAAAAAAAAAACTAAAGGCAAGCATTAGAAAAAACAGTGAAGAAAGCAAATTAAGGCGTGCACATTTTCAATACAACCCTCATTAAAATATTGAAAAGATTTGTACAAGGGGTATACCCTTATGTGCCTTTTCAATATTTAAAAAACAAACTACAAGCAAACTAACAGTGAAATAAGCATAAACAACCCATAACCAAAATAAACCGAATGACAGAATTATTTGTTTTAGAAGCCAATAGAGCTCAATTTAGCTATTCTATCACTATCAGAGAGAAAATCAGGTCTAGCTCTCTTTGCTTGTAAAACAATTATAGACTCTCATTGTCACCATTAGACATGCTTTTTCCTTTCTGGCTGTCATAGTGACATCTAGCTAACAGAACAGCCTCTTGAAGAGTAAAGAATGATAAATCATCACTTGCTTCACTTAAATTGCAAAAATTTATTAACCTTAGGTTTCTGTAAAGTTGTTAGCCTTTCCTCTACAGCTATTTTTAATTCTGTTGGAACACTGAATATTTCAGTATGATGATCCATTAAAAAGGCAACAAGTTGAATCACTAAAACTTCATCCATTTCATTTCTATCATTACAACTTAATATACAGCGATAAAATGTATGTAATACCTGGAATAAATTAAATAGTGTTTTATTATTTCTTGTGTAAAGGAATAATATCCGGCCTTACTGAAACTGGGTTTGAAGCTTTTAATTATTATCTCTGCCATAAATGCTTATCTCAGGTCACTTCAAAGAAAAAGATTTAAGTATCTAAAGTCATTGTGCTCCACCATATTAAAAGATGTAGAACGAAATAGCAAGATAATTGAAATGCTTGCCATAAATTTAATGATTTTGTAACCCATTGTGTGTTAAATCAATATGTAACATTCAAGACTTGCGTTCAACAGTTTTTCATTTTAAAGGGACATGAACTTGACACGTTGTTTATGGGTATTTGTGACATTTAGAGGGGTCTTTAAAAAGCATGTATATCTTTCCATTTTTCAATGTAAATTTTTGAATTAGGATATGTGTTTAATTCTAAATTCTTTATTTTATTCAAACATCTACAAAGGTCGAATTTACTAGGGTCAATATTTAAGAGTTTACATTTATAAATATAATATTTTGTCAAATATATTAAGTGGTTTGCAAAGAACCACTGTGGTTTGGTTTTGAATTTCGTTTTGTCCACAATTCCAAAATGATAATATTCTGAAGATAATTTAATTCTAATTTCATTTGTGTATAAAATTTCATTTAATTTACCTAAAACAACTTGAACATAAGGACATAGAAAAAAAAGATGTTCAATCGTTTCAGGGCAGGAGTTACAGAATGTATAAAGTGAGCATTCTGTTAATTTACATTTCAAAAGCTTTTCATTGGTGTATTTTACTCGATGTAAATACTTTTATTGAAAATTTCGTAATTTTGAATTGGAACAAACGGTAAAATTCATTGTAAATATATCTTTCACATATTTGTAATCTATTTGTTGTTTTATGAGATTTTGCCACTTAACAATAGATTTAGGAGTTATATATTCACGTTTGATCAAATGGTCATATACATCCTTAGGTTTAATTATATCTAATGTTTTACTATATATTTTCTTTATCAAGTTATCAATATCATCTAATATATTTTGAAAAACGATAGGCTGTAATATATTGTCATTTTCTTTAGTTGATTTTAAAACTATACTTTTGAGGTTCTGTATAATAAGATTTTCGGACAAGGTAAAATTTGTAGATATTGTATGAACATCTTCAACATGAATTATACCTTTAATGAATAACTTCAAATTATAAGTATTGAATAAGATGTTTGTATTATTCCATATTATTTGGGTCTGTAAGTTTCTGTATTGATCAATATTTCTAGTATAAATAAATTTCCAGTCCTCAAGCAATTTATTATAGAAAGGTATGTTAATTTTTATGTTTTTGTCATAATTACAGGCAAAAAGAAGTTGACCTCCATAATTTTTCAAAATGAAGTTAAAAGTTGTAGAACAAATCGATGACTTATCAAACAAAAACTTTTTTATCCAAAAAATAGACATTTTAGAAATAAACTTAGATCGATCATATTCAAACCACAATTTTGTATATCTTGGTTTATTATTTTCCTTTTGACTTTATCTGGACCGTTCCATAGAAATTTATAAACTTTTTCATTGAACTTTTTGATTATTTTTTCAGGTATATATATAGCTTTCGATGGATACAAAATTTTGGGTAACATAAAGGATTTTATTACTTGAATTTTTCCTATAAGAGTAAGGTTTCTTGTGCTCCATTTTGAAATAACTGTATCAATATCTGTCAATTTATTTTCAAAATCCAATTTATACTTTCAGTTTTGTTTAGTGTAAATGATATTCCTAATATTTTTATTGGTTCATTATTAACTTTCAATTTTAATAATTTCATACATTTTTCAAATTCTTCTTATAGATAAATTAAGATTCACTGCATCAGTTTTTGAAATGTTAATACTCAATCCAGATACTTCTTTGAATAAATCTAATAATTCAAAAAGGTGCCTAGCAGATTTATATTCTCTTAATAAACATGTTAAATCATCAGCAAATGATATACATTTTAGTTGCTCATTACCAAAGTAAATTCCTGTAATCTTTTGGTTGTTTCTAATATTATGAAGGAGAAATTCTATTACAAAGTTGAAAAGATTAGCACTCATTGGATCACCTTGTCTTACTCCTTTAGATATGTTGAAATATTTAGTAGTGATTCATTGTTCATTACAGAGCAAGTGATATTTTTATAAAGTGTTTTTATCCAGCGTATAAAATTTTTACGAAAACCAAAAAGTTCAAGAATTTTATACATACAGTCATGATTGATACTATCAAAGGCTTTCCTAAAATCAATTGCAAAAAGGAATCCTACTATCCTTTTATTATTAGCTAGATCTATACAGTCATATATTATTCTTAAATTTTCATGGATATGGCGGCCTGGAACAAACGCTGTTTGATTTGGGTGGATGAGGGAGCTGAGAAATGGTTTAATTCGGATTGATAAGGCTTAACTGGCAATTTTTACGTCAACGTTAATTAAGCTAATTGGACGCCAATTACTGAGTTCAGTTTTATCTTTAGAATCTTTTGGAATTAGTTTTATAATAAACTGCCTTTGGCTTGTTGATAATTCTTCGTTTTCGAAAGCAGTATTAATAGAATTTAAGAAATAGGAAGATACATCGGACCAAAATGTTTGTAAAATTCGACAGATAATCCAATAAAATAAGGGACATGAACTTGTGGATTGGTTTATTTGTGTAAATGAGCCTCTGTGAATAACACTTTTTAAAAAACTTACCAAACTTCGAGTAGATTGAGATGAATCTAAATTCATCTCTGTATTATTACACATTTTAAACATCAATTTGAGGAGAAGTTGTAGCTTCCTTCTGTTAGCTGGTGGAAGAATTAAACAAACGAGTTGTAAGGCTTTCTTAGCTTTTTCTTCTGATGTGAGTGAGTCATCTGCAATAACAAGAATACAAAACAATAAAATAACAAGTCATCATTCTGTAACTGTTATGGTATCAAAAAGTGCATCACAGAGAATGCTTATAGGATACAAGAGGTTTATTTTGAGTATGTGAGCCATGTGTTATATTGGTGATAGTGATGTCATTATCTGATCAAGTTGTTCACTACAGAAATCAGAAAGGTACATTTTGGCTTGTTAGTGTAAAGTTCTTGTGAACTTTGCATGTTAATTTTTTTACAGAAATCATATGAATTTGGGCATTTATAGCAGATCTGTCAGCTTAAAGCATAAGCTTACCATTCACTTACCATGTGAGATTGGCTTGCCATTTTCTTCTGTTTCTGTTTGTGAAGGTTCTGTTTGACCTCCTACTAATATATCAGGTGTTGATGAACTCAAACGGCGGTTGGTTTTCATTGTTTTAGATCCATCTAAGATAGGTTGATAACTAGTTTCATATGAGGAAGTACTTGTTGGTCGAGACAGACGACGTCCAGATCTACCATGTCTAGGTAAAGTTCCATATTGATTTGCTGAGACAGGTGTGTCCGAATGATGTAAAGATTTTGATAAATTAACACTGTGTCTGCTATACTTTGAACTTCCAGATCTATTTTGGCAATATCGGCGTTTGGCACGATCTAATCCATCCAATGATTTCACACGGGTAAAATTAACTCCCGAGTCAGAATTAGTATTATTTGACCGTTCAGTTGATAGATCAAAGTGTGTTTCTAGAGGCATTGCAAATTCTTCTTCATCACTGCTCTGATGACCATAATCTGTAGACACTCCTTGACTAAAATACACTCTGGTAACAGTTCGATTATCAGGTCCAAATGCTGTTTCATAATGTGTAATTGGAAAACTATTAGAATCATAGGCAGTAGCACTATCAAATCTTGTTGAGTCTAACACAGGTTCTATATGAGATAAATTTAATGTTGAAGCACTAGTTAATCGAACAGGTCTAGAAACATTAGATTTTCCAAAACTTGCAGATCGTGTGATGTCTAACAGTAAGTTTTCTATAGATGGATAGCACCAGGGTGTTCTAGGGGTTGACCGTCCAGAGTTAGATTGATTGTTTATATTAGGTGAGGAATGGCGAGGTAATCGGTCTTCTGTACAGGCTGTTTTTTTAAAACAATACAAAAGATTAGAATGAAAGTATCAAAGATCTAAGGGGTTCTATAATTTGTATTAATTAAAAACAAATGTTGACTACTTCTAACAAGACATTATATTTTTACAAACACATTCTAATACAAACCATTTTTAGAACCATATAAGTTTTTAAAGTTGATGCTCATGATATTTTGTAACATAATTACAAAGAAAATTTAGAAACAAGAAACTTCAACAACAAAATCAATATTTATTTCAAAATTTCATCTTTTGAACTGAATACTTCAGTAACAAAATATTTAAAAAAATTACACATACCATAAACATTTGTAATAACTTCATACATATTATAGGTCATTAAAGGTTCTGATAAACTATTGAAATAATCTTTTACTACACCAAAAACATCTTTTTCAAATCCTGCATAATTTGGTAAGTTTTCCTCTACTTTTTCTGGCCCTAAAAAGGAAATGAATCATACTTAATATTGTATTTTAAAATTCAAGGTAATCGTTATTTCTTCATATACATTCTAGTGTTCATAAATCAAATCATATCTCATGCAGACAAAAATGTCACAGACTGACTGATCTCAGAAAGAGGAAAACCAGAATACAAAATCTATTTTTTTTTATATAAACAACCCACCAAAACAAAGTCAACCCTCTCATTATCCATGATATTAAATAAATACTTCATAACGCAGGACCTTTTTGTAGAATTACAATTCAATTCATGTTACATTACAACTAAATATAGCTGAGAATATTACTTACATCTAGCTAGGCATTTCATAGCTGACATGGCCCATGGTGGTAGTTGTTCTAAAAAGAAAAAAAAACATTTAAAATAAGATAATGACTGCACAATATGAATTGATTAACAAATCTCCACATTTCACAATATGATTATTAAAACTAATACGAGCACTATTTATAATTGTAAAAAAAGCCATCTAACCCAATAAAATGAACCGATCTTTGGGGTGTGATCTGTTAGTGCATATCAAGAAAAAGTTACCTTTTATGTCAACATTTGTAACTAAACCACTTTTATTAATATAAATACAATTATGCATAATATTATGACCAGAAACAAGATGGCTGTCCATTATATCAGTCAAGTTCTCAATACCAATGGTAGATTGTAACCTGTAAGGATAAATATCATGAAATTGAGTAAACCGGATATCTGAGCCTTATTTGGTTGTGTCAACACTTTTTGCCACTGACCTGCAAAATTCGGAGCATGTAACAAGACATCAGGGCTCCCCAATCAGATTGATGAATGGGACAATGAAAAAAGTGTTATATTACAGGACATGAAATTATGCATTGTAGACATCAAAATCAATTCCATCTTGTTATAAAATGTATATATCTGAGCCTTGCTGGGTCAACACTGTTTGCAATAGGCAGGGTCAAATAAAACAACCTTGCAAAATTCTCTTTCCATACCTTGATAATGAAAATGTTTTCCATACATCTTCAATTTCATCGGGTGTTAATATTTTAGCAACTAAATGGCAACTTCTGAGATCATCTTCATTAAACTGTTTACAAGGTTTATCATGTGTGGTGGTTGGGGAATCACAGTTTATTAAGTTTTTATGAGTAGAGAGAGGTGTTCTAGCTGTCGATGTGGTAGCTTTCGTGGGAGAAGATTTATGTGTGAATCTATACGAAAAATATCAATATCAGTAATGAAACTAGATTGTTAATATTAAATCAAAATTTTATATTTCCATTCTTTTCCTTAGTTATCAGTTTCACCTATAATAAGATATGGAGGCTTTGTGAATGTGTACTCAAAAGTAAGTAACTTTCTAGTAATAAAGATACAATCAACTTTTGGACACAGAAACTTATGGCCATGTAGATTTAAATTAATGGAAGATGCGAAAATGGCACACCTGTATAGTCTTCCATTCTCAGCAAAATCTGCTCTACCATGTTTTGGACCTCGGACATCTTCAAATACACCAGCTTTGTATATTTTCTGTAATAACTGAACTGTTTGAACTCTGAAACAATAAAAGTCAAAATGTGAACTTAATTATTTTAACAAGTCCTTGAGGTTGCAACAAAAAATATAATTCTGGTTACTATTGAGTTCATTCATTCATTTGTCATAATCTGTTTTACGAAAGATCTACTTTGCTGCTTTAACATTAACAGATTTCTTTCATAGAAATGACAATGGGCAGGTGACTTTAGTAACAATAACTATTATTTAAACTGGATTAGGTAATACTATAATAATAGACTAACAATCTGTTACAGAACTTCTGGGATAAGAATAGTCACTATAAATCATGAATAAACATGTAGAATATCCTCAGGCTGTGTTTTATCTAATGAGAGGCCATGAGTAAAAGTGTTAAATTTGTGTTTCTGATGTAATCTGATGTCATTTTCAAGTTGAGGTAACAGCAGACAATGATGTATGAAATAACATACTTGAGATTTTCTTATCATCTGCCTTTTTACTGCCAAGTTAGTTTAAAACAGGGAAATCTGTTCAGAATGTCATTCACTTTAACATTCAATGCCAGGATTAACTTTTATTTCAAGAGATAGTTACTGAACATTTGAATGAAATGAGTAATGATAAGAATTCAGTATAGACAATTAGGGAGACAAAACTAATCAGATTTATGTCTGAACATTAGCTACAGGGCAAATCAATCTGTTACAATAGGTGATCTACGGAAGGAAAGATAAAAGAAGTATGGTATTATAATTAATGACTATTGCTACAGGGACAATATAATCATATTTAACTGATAAATATAAACGCCTTGTAATTTTTTGAATTTCATATTTCTACTGGTTCCTAGTGTCTAAAATTTGGTTTTATTTATGGGCTTAAACAAAAAAAGCCTACTGATTATTCAAAAAGTATTAGGATTCCTTTCAAATTAAGATTCTTTCCAGACTGCATGGATACAAATTATGTAATAAGTTCAAAGGTCATAAGGAGTGACTGAAGAATTATATTATATACCGTTAATGAAAATTCCCTGTAGGTTTCTCTGTACCCAAAAGCTTTTTAAAATACGAAGGGACTCATTTCTAATAATGAGCTTATCGCAACATTAACATTTCTTTTACAACAAGTGAACTAGTAAGCTAACAGCAATAGGGATAAGTATAATGAATAATCTTATTCAAGGATGGGGCTGTTAAAATGAGATATAAGTATTAAACGTATGTCACAAAATTTTAAGAAGATTAAAACTTTTATCAGTGCTGAACAACATTTCAATATAGACTTAATTAATTCTTATCAGATAATCTAACTTTACAACATATAACCCTACCATAGTTATCACCAACCAATATTCCCTTCAGTGTAAACCACAGAATGAAATTAATCTATTAGTAGCCTTTTTGATTAGATTTTAAAATATGTAATTGTAATATTTTACACTTCACTAATAACAAATTATTTTGGCAGTGAAAATAAAAAGACAAGGGTCCCTTTAAAATATATTTTCTAATTCTTAATGTTTCCTTTCTGAAGAAATGATCAAACATTAGGATATCCGTTGGTAAGATGTGATGAGTCTGTTATGTTAGAAAATCAATAATAGAATTTCTCAAACCCTTTAACTTAGATTACCTGGATATTTACATAAAATGAGATTGTTACAAATCAATAAGGTTAATGAATTAATGGATGAATAAATAAAAGAGGATGAATGATTTTATTGTTCTTTTATTGAATGGCAACTTCGCTTCACTTTTACAGAATTCACTGGACATATTTTATTGATACTTTATATTGCATTGGTATTATCACTCATCCCTGAATTACGATGATTAAAAGGAAATTGGTAATAAACAATAGCTGATCAAAACAATAACATGTTTATTATGGATGTTGAAATCTGTTTTTTAGTCCAGTATGAGTATGGCATACTTCCACTCCTATAGACAAATCAATTCTATGAAAGGTTTAGTACCTTTTCTGCTTCATTGATAAACCCATTGCAGTAAGCTTATTCATCAAAAGTGACTATTGTTGCACAAAATCTGTGAATGAACATTGAGTCACCCATCGAGTCACTTAATCAATCAGATATTTTCTTTATTTCACCTCACAATTGAATATAATTTGTCTGATGTCAACTCTTTTCGTTTTATTTCTTTTTTAAATTTCTAAAACTTTTAGTGTACTTTGAGTACAGTTCCATTATTGATGAAAAATGGAATTAAACATTTGAATATCTATCATTATGTACATTAAGAATATAATATAAAGATTGGAGAGAACTAAAAGAAAGATGTTTTAGCAAGGAACTGGGTTAATGAGTAAAATAGAAGTATATTATGTATAATATAGATCATATCATACTAATTATCAATATCTGTACATTATTGGTCAATATCAATCAATTAATAACATATCAATTATGGGTTTAACCAGTTTTTATTTTATACCTCTATACTTTATTATTGATTATATAGATACACTGTCATGGTAATACAGAATCAGGTTAATCTGTACATCATTTTTTTTTATTGCAACAAAATAGATAAATGGACAAAAAAAGACAATTGCCACATATATGTACTTTAATATTTAGACAGAAGGTCAAAAACCTAGAGATTTTGCTATCAGGTCACAAAATTGTTAAATAGTTTGTCACATTACATCAAATTTAAAGTTGCAAATCTGGAGAGACTTGTATTAACAGCATTATTAAGTCAGGGTCAAAACTTCTATTATATATATCATCAACATAATTACATGTATCCTAATAGTCAGATTCCTTGCAAAACCAGATCGTAGCTTTCAACCACACATAAACTTTGTCATGTACCACTGTAAACGAATGCAAATAATTCTTTTATAGAGTTTATCATACATTTAAAAATTTAAAACACTTTGGAAACTGTGAAAGTATTTAAGTAGTTGTGTTAGGAACCGGTACCGTATTATATTTTTTTGACTAGTTGAATGCAAAATTTGTCGCAATTTTCAAATGGGTGCACAAGAAACACTGATGAGTAATGATGCAATGAAAATTTAAATAAGTGTAAAGTACACAAATTGGAATTTCTAGATTCAGTCAAAACAGATTTTGTGCTTTTTTGGGGGGTCGATTTGAGTCTGGCATTAATGTAAATAGTCTTCAGAAATACTAGAAAATTTTGAGCTGAATGAGCTGTGAAATGGGTGAGCCAAAAGAAAATTTAGTAACAAATTTGATACCAGTACTTTCTAATGTTTAGATATAATGACAAAAGCTTATAAAGTAGGAGAGGCTGGTACTAAGCTTATAGTACCCAATACTTTGAGGTTCCACATTGGCTAAAGGTTAATCTTTTCCACTAATCTCCCAGCAGGATCAAATTAGGTTAATCTCGTTAATCCAGTGGGGGTTAAGTGTCAAGTTTTTGACAGTTTAAGAAAACAATAATAAAGGTTTTAACACTTCATGTCATTAAGGAAGTGAGGTCTTTATTTCTTTAATTAGGAAATTGTACAAGTTTTATTTTATATTAATTTTTGTTCTTTTCTTTGCCTTGGTATGAGTGCTAGTTGTTCTGAAAATGGGTATAATCATCTTTTCTGAATGTCTTACATATATATATATTTCTAAACCTGCTCTGTCCTGGGTCAAATATTGATTCGATTGACTCACTAGTTAAAACAACATTCTGGAGGTCCAAAAATATTTGCAATATTATCAATATTAGCTGCATGTTGTGAAACCTATACACCAAAAATTAGGATAACTGTGTCCTTTGAAGTATATGAAAATTTGAACGAAAAAATCCAGCCATTAATTTTTTAACACTGAAAAAATTTCGAAAGTGTACATAGGGTTACGTATGGTAACCCTTTTTATGTCTGTTATGCTTTTTTGAAGCCATTAGAAAAATACTGTACGGATTTGAGTAAAATAAACTACTAAATGTAGGGTAATATGTCTCAAAAGTACTCTGAAGGTTTCAACTTATAATATCGAGACATTATAAAGCCAAACACCAAAACTAGGTCAAACTGATAATTAACACTTTGCACTCTCCGACTTAATTAACCCTTTAAAAACAAATTCAATTTCATGAAGAAGATACATAGCATACCATACTTTCTGCTACCAGTACCGTATATACGATGTTTTTGATATTGAAAACTTTTTACAAAAAAGCGGAATGTCCCTTTAACTTTTAAGGGCCAAAAAGAATAAGCTGACATTTCATACTGTAATAGTTTGAGGACCACTCTCTCTTGGCACCCCAAACATGTCAGATTGACTTAATAGTTCAAAAGTAATGTTTTGTACAAATAACATTTGCAGTATTAACATGGACATTTTATCTTGTAGGATTTCTAGAAACAATTGTGTTAAATGTTGCATTAAGACAATTAACCTATGGTACTTACTTTGTTACTTCCTTTTCAAAATTGGGATTATTATTCATATAATTGTGAACCCATTCTACAGCTGCTGATGCAACAAAACAATCTTCATGTGTTCTCATGTAACGCCTGTGTTTTCCACATGGCATTTCATTTCTAAACATATAAATTACATCATTCCACTGAAAAAAAAAGAATTAAATAAATAAAAAATGATTTTCAAATGCCAACCAAGTGAAAAATCACATTATCGCACCGTCTTCTTAGTAGTTTTAATCTATAAATTGGATAAAAAAAAATATAGACAGCATATAAACAAAATATTGACCATTTATAATTTGACAATTTATCATTCATGATTGCAATATGACCAATGTACAAAATTTCATTCACATAATACAATTTTGTCAACTTAATGGTAAGCCTACAATTCCAACCCCAGACAGTTTCTCATTCGTTTTATTTGCCAACTTGGCAGCCAAAGCAAGAAACTCTTCAATTCTGAAATAAAAATTGAATTATTAAGTAATAAGTCTATTAGAATTATAATTCTAACTGTAAATAGACTTACAAGTTTTGTAGCTCTATATGGTCCCATATAAACATCCGAATCAGAACTAGACCGTTTCTCCATTGTTGAAATTTAAGAAATTTGTAACAATACATCCATGTGAACCATTCGAACACCTGCCAGTGAATGACAACAGGACGCTATCTTTCAGTTTAAAACACCCTCTTTATTCTGATTGGTTAAAATCAAACATCTATTACAGAATGATTGGTTGCTTGAAAGAACACCACTTCCGTTCAATAAACAAGATGGCGACCATGGAAGGTCCGTTGAGTAAATGGACTAATGTTATGAAAGGATGGCAGTATCGTTGGTTTGTTTTAGACGAAAATTCCGGTCTTTTGTCTTATTATACAGTATGTATATGTTGAATCCTAACACGAAACTGATTTGTTCTGTTGTAGGTGTCACATTATCTATTATAGTGTAAATTCTGTCGACGATTTCTTGTTTACGTTTTCATGACCACGCCCACCTAGATCTGACCGTCTTTCCAAGTTAAGATATTTCGGCGTTCAGACAGGCTAAATGATTCGAATGTTATTGAACTGAACTTAATAAATAGAACATTGATGAAGTACATTAAATTACTTGAACACATTTGCTACAACAAATATTGAATTAGAAAAAACTTCCTACCACAATCCAGAAAGGCCCTAGTATTGTAGGCGAATACCAGTTAAAACGGTAACAAATTTTAATAGTCAAAACGGTAATAGATTTGCCAAAACGGAAACAAGATATTTAGGTTAAAACGGTAACAGATCTGCCAAGACGGTAACACAATAAAATGTATTGTAAAATCTTTTTATTTTCTATAATTGTAAAACATATAATGTAAAAATCAACAGCAAAAATAACATTAAGAACATGGTATGTCGGTAGATTTCTTTAATCAACAATCGTGAGTGCTAATTATTACAAGAAAGTCATGAGTTTGATTTGGCGGTTTTTTATCCTAATCAACAATTACTTTGATAATATTTAAAATGTTGTCATAACTTGGATTGAAGGTGAGAATTATTGGTCGAGTTGAGTTGTTTTCGAGTATGAGTTATTATGAATAAATTTTGTTTTATCTTGTTACCGTTTTGGCAGATCTGTTACCGTTTTATCTAAATTTGTGTTACCGTTTTAACCAAATTTGTGGTACCGTTTTGACTATTAAAATTTGTTACAGTTTTGACGTGTTACCGTTTTAACTGGATACCTTGTAGGCTACGGTACAGTTTCAACTGTTGTTTAGTTTATTCTGGTTTTTCATACGCCAACAATGAAATGTTGATGTATATTGTCCGTCAGGCAGTTTTTATCTGTATGTATGTAGGCCTATATACTGAAGCGATCTTGTCCAATTCTCAATGATCTGATGAACATTTTGAGGGTTATTGTCCTTGACTTGTTGTAAATACGTCAAATTTGACTCGTAGACACTTAAGAGGCTAAACTTGGGACACTTGTATATAGTGATGATATCTCCGTCAAGATTGAATATGGTAATAAATGTAAAAGATTTTAGAGTTATTGTTAAGAGTTATTGTCTGGACAGTAAATCGATATTCATTAATAAATTTAGAATTTTTGAACTAAAATGCATTAAGAAGACCTTAAATATGAGAGAATTCCCATTTTAGTCACTTGAGACTCTGTTATCATTTTTGACAGATGGGCATATGCTACCTTGCTAAAGCTATCATTTTTAGTATTTTGTTTTGTTGTATTCTAGTCCAAAGAGAAAATGATGAGAGGAACAAGAAGAGGCTGTGTTGTTTTAAAGGTATCAAACAATATATGGATCATACAGTTCCTTTTCGACTAGATTTTTATACGCCCACATGAAATGGGGGGCGTATATTGTCGTCACCTATGTCCGTCCGTCCACAATTGCTCGTAAACACTCTACAAGGCACAATTCTTGACTGATTTTGACGAAATTTGACGAAATTTGTTTGTAATCACTCAAGGATGAATACTATTGAAAAGCAGATAAATCGAAACAAATTTAGTATGAGTTATTGCCCTTGTTCTTGAAGCGCTTGTAAACACCTTAGAAGGCGCAATTCTTGACGGATTTTGATGAAACTTGGTGTGAGTGTTTGTTATCACCCAAGGAAGAACCCTATTTAAAATCAGAAAAATCGAAAAATAATTAGTATAAATTATTGCCCTTGTTCTTAAAAACGCATTCAAGTTTAGCTTGTAAATACTGCAGAAGGCACAATTTTTGACGGATTTAGATGAAACTTGGTATGTGTATTCATAATCACCCAAGTTTGAACCCTTTTGAAAATCAGAAGAAATGAATAATAATTAGTATGAGTTATTTCCCTTGTTCTTGAAAATGCGTTCAATTTGTAGCACGTAAACACTCTAGAAGGCACAATTCTTGATGGTTTATGACGAAACTTGGTGTGAGTGTATGTAATCACCCAAGGATAATCCCTATCGAAAATCAGAAAATTGAAAAATATTTAGTATTAGTTATTGCCCTTGATCTTGAAAACTCGTTCAATTTTTAGCTCGTAAACACTCTAGAAGGCACAATTCTTGATGGTTTTTGACGAAACTTGGTGTGAGTGTATGTAATCACCCAAGGATAATCCCTATCGAAAATCAGAAAAATCGAAAAATATTAGTATGAGTTATTGCTCTTCAAGTTTTATTCTGTAAGCACTCTAGAAGGCCCAATTCTTGACAGATTTTGATGAAACTTGGTAATATTATTCAGTATCGCCTCAAAAAGTTCAAAAGAAGTGTATGTCTGAAGGTTGAATATTTCATACTGGTAATTGTTACTGTACTGCCAAATATTTTTATTTACGCCAGTGGGCGTATATTTCCTTGCCTGGCAAGCTATCTTATAAGATATCAATATTGTTGTTAATCTAAACTCTAGTATGGAAAATAAGACATTACTGATCACAAAATAGATATCAATAAAGACATTGTTTTGTTATGAGTTGTGCTGGCCATATTCACTTATCTAAAATGATATGAAAAACGATATAAGTTTCCATTTAAATGGTCATATTTTTAATTTCTGACATAGCTTATTAAAATGTATTTCAGGGGGCTGTGATAGGGATAGATGATGAAGATGATAGTACCTTCACTATTACAGTTGATCATAAAACATTTCATTTTCAAGGTAAGATTTTATACAATAAGATATGATAATAAAGAAGTGTGTACCAATTTTTCTTTGGTGCTCTTTGTATTTTTTATATCTTGTGTTTGTTGGCACATGTATGGAAAGCTGTGAATTAAATCTGTGATATGATATTACATACTTATTTCCTGATATTTATATATAATAGAGTATTTTAAGAACTGTGACATGTGATAGATATAAAAAGAACTATTGATCAAACATAAAACACATTTCTGAGTAGAGATGACATAATGTGTATAAGATTATACAAGGTTGTATACATCCACAATATAATGTCATCACTCCTGTCAATTGCTGGTGGAGACTACAGTTTTGATCACATTTTGATGTATTTATATTAATGAGATTTTTGTTGACCTCTAGTTGATTTTCATGAAATTTTCTTGAAACTTTGATCAATTTTTTGACATTTGTTTATGTGACATTATATTGTGTTTAGCTTTTGGATTTCATGGTATATTAGCATATAGAGCTACATAGGATAGTTCTTCAGATGTTGTTTCTATTTTGGTTTAATTAATGAAATAAAATAAACTTTTATATACAACTCTACCACACATTATTGTGGTTGAATCAGTCACTATGTCAACAAAATAGTGTCAAAATTGGTTATTGTACTCCTAAGGAATTAAAGTTTTGATTTTATTAGGGGATTATGATTTAACTATAAGCCGAACTTTAGGTAACTTTATAAGGTATCTTGGTCCTGAAAGATGATGAAACATTGGAAAAATCTACCATTTGATATAACTTCAGGTCCTAAATAAACAACGTTATTTTTCCTAAAATAGCAGTGTGCATGAATCTGTGATGTTGTTTTTAATTTAGACAGCTATATATAAGCTTATTAGAAAATATCTTATAACAACCAGATAAAAATAACAAATAAATTAAAGTTCCTTCCTAAGCTGATTAATTTATATCAAGTAATCATTTTCTCTGTAATATACTGGAGTGAAAAAGGATAAGTTGAACTAAGTTCATCTTTCTTCCAATTTATTTTTTGTACTCCCAATATCAAGGCTATGTTTCAGTGTAATCTTGTTCATGAAATAGTTCTAATTCATATCTTTGGTACCACATTAGTATGTAAACTGTCTCAAAGGAAAATATTTTGACAGATTGTCATGATTATTCACAGAATTGCAATTTATTTGATATGATTAACCCAAATGTTTCGGTATAATTCTGCCAATTTTTATACCAAATTTGCTATGCACATAGCCCTGTCAATTGCATTTTTATACGCCCACATGAAATGGGGGCGTATATATTGCCGTCACCCATATCCATCCGTCTGTCTGTCCAAAATTGCTCGTAAACACTCTACAAGACACAATTCTTGACGGATTTTGACAAAACTTGGTATGAGTGTTCGTAATCAACCAAGGATGGACCCTATTGAAAATCAGAAGAATCGAAAAATATTTTGTATGAGTTATTGCCCTTGTTCTTGAAAATGCGTTCAATTTTTAGCTCATAAACACTCTAGAAGGGACGATTCTTGACGGATTTTAACAAAACTTGCCATGAGTGTTCTTATCACCCAAGAATGAACCTTATTGAAAATCAGACCAATCGAAAAATATTTACTATGAGTTATTGCCCTTCTTCTTGAAAACGCGTTCAATTATTAGCTCACAGTCATTCTAGAAGGCACAATTCTTGACAGTTTTTGATGAAACTTGGTGTGAATGTTCGAAATCACCGAAGGATGAACCCTATTGAAAATCAGAAGAATTGAAAAATATTTAGTATGAGTTATTGCTCTTGTTCTTGAAACGCTTTCAATTTTAGCTCTTTAACACTAAAAGGCATGATTCTTGCTGGATTTTGACAAAACTTGGTTTTTATTATTCAGTCCTGCACTGAAGATTGATTATTTGCCTTCTAGAGTTTCCACGAGCTAAAGATTGAAACACATTTTCAAGAACAAGGGAATATTTCATACTGGTAATTGTTACTGTACTGCTAAATATTTTTATTCAAAATCAAAGCTGCCAGTGGGCGTATATTACCTTGCCTGGCAAGCTATCTAATTGGATACCAGGTAATGATTTTATTAATCATTTTGGTTGTTGTTTTTTTTGATTCCTAGACCAATTTGAATCCTGTTACTATTAAGTCTTATTGATGATTTGTTGACTCCATTTTAGAAGCAGATGTGCCTGATAGCATGAAATCATGAAATTGAGCTGTATGATATTGATTTATGAGTAATATATATTTATTATCACCAGATAGAATATTGTCCAGTATATTAATTAGTTAGAATATTATGTTATGATTAATGTAATTCTAGCCAGAGATGCAGATGAACGTGAAAGATGGATTGAAGGCTTAGAAAATACAGTACTTCGGCATTCTCATATAGCTACAGTAAGTGGTTTTAATTGATATCAAGACATTATTAGTTTTCATTGTTCATATCTGTGTGAAACGTAATTAATAAGTATGTCACTGTATTGTTGACAAAGGCCAATGTATCCTACCCAACTTTAAGATGTTACAGGGATTGTAAAGCTTTTTTATGTATCATTTAAGGCTTTTTGCCTTGAAAGACCCACAGATGTCTAAATGAAAATGATGCAAATTGATGCTATCAATGTCCCAGATGCACCTAAAAAGTTTAGAAAAATGTTTTGTTATCTCAGAAATTATGATTATCATAGAATATTTTTAAAAGCTTGGCCACTGTTAAGTGTACCTTTATCTATTGTGTAAGAATATTTTTGTATAGTATAGTATTTCAAAGATCTATTTCTAAATTATTTTAATCATGAACTGTTTTTTAGAAATGTTTATATTGTCATTGTTTTTTATAAAGATTTTTATACGCGCACATGAAATGTGGGGGGCGTATATTGCCGTCACCTCTTTCCGTTGGTCCGTCCGTCCGTCCACAATTGCTAGAAACACTCTACAAGGCACAATTCTTGACTGATTTCGACGAAACTGGGTATGGTTGTTTGAAATCACCCAAGGATAAACCCTATTGAAAATCAGACGAATCAAAAAATATTTACTATGAGTTATTGCCCTTGTTCTTGAAACGCTCGTAAATACTCTAGAAGGTGAAATTCATGATGGATTTTGATGAAACTTGGTATGAGTGTTTATCGCCCAAGGATAAACCCTATCAAAAATCAGAAAAATTGAAAATATTAAGTATGAGTTATTGCCCTTGTTCTTGAAAACGCGTTCAATTTTAGCTTGTAAACACTCTAGAAGGCACAATTCTTGATGGATTTTGACGAAACTTGATGTGAGTGTTTGTAATCACCCAAGGATAAATCCTATCGAAAATCAGAAAAATTGAAAAATATTTAGTATGAGTTATTGCCCTTGTTCATGACGAATTTTAACGAAATTTGGCTTGATTGTTGGTTATCACCTAAGGATGAACCCTATTGAAAATCAGAAGAATCTGAAAATATTGAGTATGAGTTATTGCCCTTATTCTTGAAAACGCGTTTTTAGCTTGAAAACACTTTAGAAGGCATAATTCTTGATGGATTTGAACGAAATTTGGCTTCAGTGTTTGTTATCACCCATGGATAAAGCCTATTGAAAATGAGAAAATGAGAAAAAATATTTAGTATGAGTTATTGCCCTTGATCTTAAAAACTCATAGCTCATAAAAACTCTAGAAGGCATGATTCTTGCCGAATTTTGACAAAACTTGGTTTTTTTTTATTCATTACCGCGCTGAAGATTGAATATTTGTCTTCTAGAGTTTTCACAAGCTAAAGATTGAACACGTTTTCAAGAACCAGGGCAATAACTTATACTCAATATTATTCAGTATCGCCCTAAAGAGTTCAAAAGAAGTGTATGACTGAAGGTTAAATATTTCATACTAGTGACTGTTACAGTACTGCTAAATATTTATGTTCAAGATCAAAGCTGCCAGTGGGCGTATATTATCTTGCCTGGCAAGCTATCTTATTTAGAATTAATAAGAGATTTAAGCCCAATTGAAACAAACTAATGTTATTTTTGTTTAAGAAGAATGAGAATCAAGTACAATGTCGTATTGAAGATTTTGATAACAAGTTAATGGAAACAGATGCTTATTTACAACTTCTTATAGAACAAGTAGAGGTATAACTTGCATGTATTCAATTTCACAATTTTTTACCTTTGATAAATCTATCATCATGTTTAGATATTTTCAGAATCTTCATTTTACAAAACAATAGTATTACTGCAATAACTAATCAGTGTTCTTATTATACATTTATAGTTATCTTAAAGTTATAAGGTTTCTAACTACAACTTAGTTCACGTTTGTTGAAAGTAACATGCTCAGATATATCAAAAACTCAAAAATATTTCAGATTTAATTAAGTATTTTATTTGTACAGACAATAGAAGCTAAAATAGAAGCCTGTCCAGATGAAGCATCTAAAGAAAAATATAACCTGATTAAAGTTACAGCTACAGTATGTAGACAGTTTTGAGATATAATTATTCAGTAGAGACTGAGAAACATATTTTTTTCTATTGAGTCCACATGCTTCATTAGTTTGTTCTTAATTTTGGTTCAGAAATTCAATATCTAAGCTCATCTATGGCACCAAAGTTGAGTTTAATAACGTAGCTATGATTTGGTCTTTTTTTACAGCTTATAGTGGATTTCACCAGAAATCAAAGAATGGGAAATGTTATATTTTACTAAGGGGACATTTATTATATCTTACCTAGCAAACTATTTGTTCATATTATTAACTTTTTTTGGATACATTTTTAGGACATGATAGAAGCCATAAAACATTCCATTATGATGTTACAGATATCAAAAGTAGGTTTCAATTATCTCTTTACAAAGACTAAAAAATTCAATGTAATGAAATAGTTTATTATGTTTAATACAACTGTCAGACATGCAAAGATTTAAAAAATAAGTATGATATGATAATGTTAAGTTCCAATGTATGATACTTGTCCAATATTAAAGCACAATATACTAATAATACACATTAGTTTATATTTCCAATGTACAAATGAAAATATTTATCTAAAACATTGATAGAACAAATTTCACTCTTTACTTGTAGGAGAGTTTAAAAGAGCCAGTTATCAATTCTGCATTTACTCCTATAACACAGACGGCTAACTTTTCACATTTTGGTTCACCAAAACCTGGAGGTATGGTTTATTCCTTTCAGCAATTTTCTTGAAATTTAAATTGTGAAGAATAGTGACGTATTTACTAATCAACCATTTAAAATGACATATGAACTTGTGTTGAGAGTAGAAAGGTGGAAATGCCACTGATCCTGCCAATTGAAGACTAATAGACCTATATTATATCAATATGAAAATGTTATTACTAGTTGTTATGTAATTCTAGGTACGAAAACATCACTATCTAGTGAAAATATAGATAAAACTAGTGATATAGTACCGGAAGATACTTTAGTTACTTCAACTACCAGTGTATCTTTACCTAATTTATCTACACCAGGTATGTTAAACAAGAAACAGATAGATATTTTGTCCTGTTCCGTATGGTTTATTGATATGTAGGTTTATTTGACCAACCTCATGACAAAGTGAGTGTTTATTGATGTGTTGTGATTGTTTTTGAGACTGACTCATTTCATGCATATCTCTTTGATTATAGTTTATGGATGGTTAATGGGTATTAAACATATTATGATACAATAGGTAAAGAAGATGGTGGTTATGTGTTGTTCATACATGGAAGTAATAACTGCAACCTTTTGGACATCTTGGCCATTGTACTTGAGAATATATTATCTTTATAGTGATATCATCAGTTGTTCCAGTAGATGGCGCTGGTATAGCAGAACCCATTGTACAATCTGAATTACAAATACCATTACCAATACCAGAAACACATCCAACTACCTCTTATTCTAGTAGTGATGATGATGATGAATTCTATGATGCAGAAGATCAAAAATCATCAGCTAAAAATTCACCAGAGTATGTTTTGTTAAGAATATATTTTTTGGAGAAAAGAATTTAATTATCCTATCACCTGCTAAAGTAATAAAGAGTTATAATCAGAAAGGGGAAAGGCTAGCATTACCAGTATGATGACTAATCAAAACTTTGACAAATTCTGGTGCATATTTATATCTAAATTATCTGTATTGTCTGCAGAAGTACAAATTATGACATGAGCTCCTATCACTATTACTGAATAAAGATTGAGTGCAATTATAGAATTTATATTATTTTATTTTAGACATGAATTAGATAAACTAAAAGTAGATAATACTGGTAATAATTTAGAGGATGGACCATCTTCACCCCCAGTTATTACATCTCAAGATGATTTCTTTGATGGTATGTATATTTTTATGTTAATAGATTGTTTCATCTAATTTTCAAATATTTTAACAATTATAAAATGAAAAAAGAGAACAATAAATAGTAAATAAAGAACATTATAAAATTTTGATTGTGTTCATGGTAAAACAAACATCATCAATTCAATTTTCAATGTATAGATGTACAGCACTGTACAAAATGTGATTGTCTTATGTGTTTATTTATTTTTAGAATTATATGATGAAATGGATACAGAAGATTGTAAGTTTTGTTTATACATATCAGTAAATTTTTAACAGACATTTAATTCTTTCATCTCTATTTGATAAAAAATAAAAGCTATCATTATTACATCATTTCAGACCCCAATAATTCTGCAAGTGGCCCGAAACCAGGATAGATTAATTATACTTGAAAATATATTATTATACAGTGTCTGTACATTTCCAACTTTTAAAGCTGGGTTCCCTTATTTTCTTTATGAAAATGAATATGCTGATACTTATATGAATAGAAAGTAGAGGCGTTCTAATGATTTGGAAAAATACCAGTTTTTATCACATGTTCATAATTAATTCATAATTGGCTAAATTAGAAGAGAATTACCAGCAGAATTCCAATGAGTGACCGTTCAAGACAGGTCATAAAGTATTTTTTTGTTTATCCAGACTGTTCATACGTGGACATTTATGATTGGTAAAAATTATATTAATTATATGCAATAAGAACATAATGATATGATTAAGAATACATGATAGTTCATTAGATACACCAATTACTTAAATAGTTTGCTTGATTTGACACTAAAAAATAAGGAAACCCATCTTTAAGATTGATTACAGCTATTGTTGCATATCTTACAGCTAAAATCAATGTAGTTTGATTGTCTTCATTCAATGGGAATTATTAAAATCTTTACATATGATTATTATGTTTGATGTCATTTGCAATAAATAATCTGATTTGCCTGAAAGTGACAAAATTTAGATCTTCCAGAATTGTGGACATGAATTTTGTCTAACAAGTAATATCGAAGGCTGAAAACAAGAAATTATTTGTTATGACAGTTTTGTGTATGTTTATTTATAATAGTGGGATCATTAGAACAACATGGCAGTATTATAACTCATCTCCTATCACAAGTTCGTATTGGTATGGATTTAACTAAAGTTGTTTTACCAACATTTATATTAGAAAGAAGATCATTGTTAGAAATGTTTGCTGATTTCTTTGCTCATCCTGATTTATTCCTTAAGTGAGTTGCTTATCTTAACGGTATATTCCTTATGAACTGATGCAAACAGATTGATTTATTTTGTATTAGCAATTAAACAATGAAACACATAGTAAGCATTACAGAATTTGATATCTTGATGTTCTTTAATACAGTAGCCAAGGTTGGATAATTTTTGCATTTATCAAGAAATTTGTTTTACAATTGGTGTACAGGGAATAAGAGAAATATTGTTGTAGGGTAGTGGAATTAAAAACACCTCGAGAAAGAATGATACAGATAGTTAGATGGTATTTATCAGCGTTTCATGCTGGCCGACCAAGTGAAGTAGCTAAGAAACCATATAATCCTATATTAGGAGAAACATTTCTATGTGAATGGAGAATGCCAGATGAAGACTATAGTAAAAGTGTACGTTTGCTCTCAATATTTTTATTTTACTAGCTCTTAATATTAGGTAAATTTCGTAATCCTCAGTCTGATAGAAATGTAAATTTCATGTCATGTTTTTCTATGGATGACTATTTGACATCCATGATCTGGTAAAATTGTTATGCAACACATATTCTGTCATCAAAATATTCCACTAATCAAATGTCCTGTTCAATTTGAGAAATTCTGGGATATTCAGTTTTAAACTTTGGATTATATTAGTCTTTTGGTGTTTTATGAATTATGACAACTTTTACTATTAGGGCCAAATTCAACTGAAAACATCTGGAAGAAGAATTTCATGAAACTTAACAGTGTAGTGACCCATGAGAAAAATATGAAAATATGAATTCTGAATTTGAATAAGATGTGTGAATGAAACAGGGGAACTTTAGATATATATTTCTGGAGTCGTTGTATAATATCTATGGGCTGCTAATATATTTAAGCAAAAGTTTAATGACTTGAATGTAATATNTTATGTGTTTTAGGAGAAAGTAGAACAAGGACCGTTAGAATACGCCACAAAAGACAACTTAGCTTTTATAGCAGAACAAGTTTCACATCATCCTCCAAGTTAGTATTATTATTTTACAATAACATGGTCATTTTTAACAATAAAGAGATGATGGTAGACACTTTATAATTTCTAAACAATTTCACAGTCTTTTATTGTCTTTTCTGTTAACTTTTTTATTTGATATTAGCTGTGGAATGAAAAATATCATTGATTTGGTTTTTCTTCTTACAGTTTCTGCATTCTACGCAGAACATTTTAACAAAAGGATCACATTAGATGGTTATATATGGACCAAATCCAAGTTTTTAGGATTATCTATTGGTGTACATATGATAGGTCAGGCTGTTGTATCAGTATTAGATTTAGATGAACATTATACTATAACATTCCCTAATGGATATGGCAGGTACATATTACTAATATAAATTCTTAACATATGGTATTCTTCTGTTGCAGCTTAAATATCAATTCGCTCAGTCCTTCAGATTTGAAAATAAACTTAGGCCATGTTTGCTATAGGCTGTACACATTTAACGGAAAAAGGAATTGGCAAGGGTCAAATGACAAACCACATCAGATTTTTATACGCCCACATGAAATGGGGGGGCGTATATTGTCGTCACCCATGTCCGTCGGTCCGTCGGTCCGTCCGTCGGTCCGTCCACAATTGCTCGTAAACACTCTACAGGGCACAATTCTTGACGGATTTTAACGAAACTTAGTATGTGTGTTCGCAATCACCCAAGGATAAACCTTATTGAAAATCAGCGAAATCGAAAAATATTTAGCATGAATTATTGCCCTTGTTAATTTTTAGCTCGTAAACACTCTAGAAGGCACAATTCTTGACAGATTTTGACGAAACTTGGTATGAATGTTTGTAAACATCCAAGGATAAACCCTATTGAAAATCAGTGAAATCGAAAAATATTTAGTATGAATTATTGCCCTTGTTCTTGCAAACGCGTTCAATTTTTAGCTCGTAAACACTCTAGAAGGCATAATTCTTGAAGGATTTTGACGAAACTTGGTATGAGTGTTCATAATCACCCAAGGATAAACCCTATTGAAAATTAGCGAAATCGAAAAATATTAAGTATGAATTATTGCCCTTGTTCTTGAAAACGCATTCAATTTTTAGCCCATAAACACTCTAGAAGGCACAATTCTTGAAGGATTTTAACGAAACTTGGTATGAGTGTTCGTAATCACCCAAGGATAAACCCTATTGAAAATCAGCGAAATCAAAAAATATTTAGTATGAATTATTGCCCTTGTCATTGAAAACATGTTCAATTTTTAGCTCGTAAACACTCTAGAAGGCACAATTCTTGAAGGATTTTAACGGAACTTGTTATGAGTGTTCATAATCACCCAAGGATAAACCCTATAGAAAATCAGAGAAATCAAAAAATACTTAGTATGAATTATTGCCCTTGTTCTTGAAAACACGTTCAATTTTTAGCTCGTAATCACTCTACACGGCACAATTCTTGATGGATTTTAACGAAACTTCGTATGAGTGTTTGTAATCACCCAAGGATAAACCCTATTGAAAATCAGCGAAATCGAAAAATATTTAGAATGAATTATTGCCCTTGTTCTTGCAAGCCATTCAATTTTTAGCTCGCAAACACTCTAGAAGGCACAATTCTTGACAGATTTTGACGAAACTTGGTATGAGTGTTCGTATTCACACAAGGATAAACCCTATAGAAAAATCAGGGAAATCGAAAAATATGTAGTAAGAATTATTGCCCTTGTTCTTGAAAACGCGTTCAATTTTTAGCTCGTAAACACTCTAGGAGGCACAATTCTTGACAGACTCTACAAGTCACAATTTTTTTGTTCATAATCACAATTTACAATAGATGTCATTATTTTCCTGAGAAACTATTTTGGTTAACAAATAAGAAAATTTAATTTAACATGTCCCTAACCAGCCACCATACATGTACAGCTTCATAAGATACTATAAATAGACCAAGTGGAAAATCCAAGACAGATATCCAATCATAGCTTAGTCATGTGACATCCCAAGATGCAGCAGTTTATCTGATTTCATTTTATAAATGTTATTCAAGAGAAAAGGTTTGCTTTCACTTTCACCAATTGTGCTGATACAAAAATAAAATTAAACATGGGTCATAGGGGAAAGGTTTTGTTTCTTGGAAGATTGAATTGAGTTGCTGGATAAGTAGGCTACTGTAGGAAAAATATTTAGTATGAATAATTGCCCTTGTTCTTGCAAACCTTTCAATTTTTAGCTCGTAAACACTCTAGAAGGCATTCTACAAAGCAGAAGTCTAAAACAAATTTGACAACTTGATAAAATTGATCACAATCAAAACCTTTTGAAATATTAAATACAAGTTATTGCCGTTATTCTTACAAATGTGTTTGATTTTTAACTTGTGATGGCACAGTTTGTGATGGATTAAGTTGAATATTTCCTGGTGTCTATGTTTGCTATTTTCTAACAAATATTCAATTTCAAACAAAGCTATCAGTGGGCGTATATTACCTTGCCTGGCAAGCTATCTCAATATTTTTTATCCACTGATTTAAGACAGGTCAAAAGATAATGATTTAGGTAGAACAGTAGCGCACATTCACATTAATATATTTTAAAGACAGATTTGATTTAATATTGACTTGGTATTTGTACTATATTATATATCCTTGTTATAACTTATATCTGTTATTAAGGTCTATATTAACTGTACCATGGGTAGAATTAGGTGGTAAATGTCATATTAATTGTGCTAAAACAGGTTTTAATGCTACAATTGATTTCCATACGAAGGTAAGTAATATTTTTTATTATAAAGAAATTAAAGATGCATGTTTTTGGCTCAATTTCAACTCCTTCTCTTTCAGGGACTATCCATTCAGCTATGTTCAGCTGGGCTAATAAATATAGTATTGAAAGGAAAATAGTGAGAAGATTATTTTTAGAACAGATTCAAACTCACAACCATCATTATCTGTTAACAGATTAATTAAAGTTTAAGGAATGATTAATATTATCTATATGCATATAATCAACATATTAATACTTATACCTTGATTTAATTTGTTTATAGCCATTTTATGGTGGAAAGAAACATCAGATATCAGGTCAGATTTATGATCCTAATGAAAAAAAACCAATTGTAACAGTAAATGGTGAATGGAATGGAGTTATGTATGCTAAATATGATAATGGGGTATTAACTATTTTTCTTTCTGTGCCGCAAATATTCCCAGCGCAAATCACAGACTAATTTTGGAGTGTTCATCCTAAATGTTTCTTAGACTATTCATTTTGTCTCTTGATAGTTTATAAAATATTATGAGTTGCAATTTCATCTGAGAAAAATATCAGTAAATTATGCTATGTATTATATCAGTTTTGCCAATGACTGACTCACTAACTCACTCTCATTTTTATATGCCCACATCTCTCTATGTGGACGTATATTGTCGGCACCCCCGTCCGTCTGTCCGATTTTCTGATGGGATCAAATGAAATTCGGTATGTGTATACTCCATAAAATGAAGATCAAGTTCGAATGCGAGCTATTTTCAACCGTTAGAAGCAGAGTTATTGCCCTTGCCCCAAAATCTTGCATATGCTATTAGTCTCTTAGTTTTCAGCCAATTTTGATGAAACTTAAAATGGATGTTATTGGACCTAAATCGAAAGGTTTGAGAAAGTTTAGTTTACTTCTGATTAAATTTAAGACTTTTTCAAAATTTAGGCTTCTTACGTCAGTTTTGAGGAGTTATCGCCTTTAAACCTCTATACAGTAACGTTTGGTTGTAAACGCTCTTAAAACTAGATTTTTTGATGGAATCAAATGAAATTCGGTATGTGTATACATATTCATAAAATGAAGATCAAGTTTGAATTTGAGCTATTTTTGACCATTAGAAGCAGAGTTATTGCCCTTGCCCCAAAATCTTGAATATGCTATTACTCTCTTAATTTTCAACCGATTTTGATGAAACTTAAAATGGATGTTTCGTTTTTACCATCCGCATGCCGTGGTGGGCGTATATGGCTGTGGTCCACTATCTTATTTTTTTAATGTTATAATTCTGAAATGTGGATAAACGTTTTGCACTTATGACCTTTCATTAAAAAACAAATATAATGATATGTTTCCTAATTGGTTTTATGAAACAGTTGGTGATGATTTTTATTTTATATTTTATTCTAGCAAACAGAAACATTTGTCGACACGAAAAATCTTCCAATAATCAAAAAACGTGTACAACCTAGAGAGACGCAGGATGAATATGAATCAAGAAGGTTATGGCAGGATGTTACAAAACATCTAAAATATAGAAATGTTGTGGAGGCGACTGAAGGTAAACATAGATTAGAACAAAGACAAAGAGAGGAAGCCAAGGAAAGGAAAGAAAAGGGAATCAAATGGGAAACTAAAGTAAGTAAAAGTCACATCCTAAAATTATTTTTGTCAATGAAGTTTTGGTTATCGCAACATCATACTTTCTCCATCATACATTTTGATAATAAATATACTTGCTTCCTATTTTATTCAGTGTTTAGATTATCAAAGCTTATAATTAATTTAATTTGTTAATTAATTTACAAATAGATTATGATTCATTCAATGTTAAAGGGATAGATGGGCCATTTGTTGACCAATCATACTTTAGCCTTTAATAATGTTCACAGCTCAATGTTGAAATTTGAGCCTTCAAATCCATGTATGTCCAGAATTATCTGAGTTTGAAAGATAAAAAGAAGAGTCACATTTTTTTGCCATCACTTCTTGTACTTCTGGAGACTAATTACATATATTTAAGACTCAATTCAACCCCCTATAATGGACTTTATCAAAGAGCAAATTATGGCTAATGTTGTAATTTTAACAAGCTTTTGTATGTTTGTAGAAATTCCATGAAGTAGGTGAACACTGGGTATATGATCATCCCCTTGTTACAAGATTAAAACATGCTGGAACTCAAAATACTATATCATGATCTATGACTTAATTCTCTACAACCTCCTGGAGTATTAAAACAGACTAGCTATGAGCATACATTCAGTGATGATAACTTTAAGATAATAAGCTCAAGATAATATAGACCAGGTCATGGGAAACATCATTTAAAGTGATACATAGTGTAACCATGGATTATATATTTTGTGCAATGATGTGATTTAAATCTTAAAAAAAGATTTGTGTTTCTGTTATTTTTCTTAGCATACATATCTACAGGACAGTTAAGAATGTTCTCCAGTCCATTCAATAGATACTATGTGGGATTTTAGGAAGAGATCACATTATTGGTAAATAGATCTTGTGATATCTTTAATATATACAGTTAGTGACAGATGTGATAAAAATATAGCTGTCTCTTTCAGTGAATCTTGTTATCAAACTTTAGATCAGATCATTTAGTTAAAGAGTTAAAATCTTGTGATGTCAAAGTCTTTATTTTCTCATTATTCAAGTCTACTTAAAGAGTCAGCTGACAGATAATCCAGAAAGGTCAATGCCAGGCTTGGCCAAAAACTAGCTGGTAGACAGGATTCAAGAATTTTTATAGTATGGAGGATTCGAAAAATAAAAATCTTCACAGTTGTATAATTGTGTTGGTCATTTTTGGAACAAGTCTTTCTCTAAATATGTTACAAATCTTACACAGACATATGAATTGGCACCCAAATCTTGCAGTGGTTATTATAGAGTAAACCTCACATATCAGTGATTTCTTGAAAGTCCTTCAAACATCTTGATAAAAGTTAGCTTGTAAGTTTTTACTGTGTATCTTGTATGGTGAAATTTGTTATCATTACAAATGAATTGTTATAAATATTAATTTTTATTCAGATATTTATTTATTTATTATAGTGTAAAGGAATTCCTGATATAAAATCATGATTTATGTAAATTATTGTCTTTGTTCTTTTAACTTTTAATGAAAATGAAAGATTTAATCTAAGTTTTGTCATTATTGTTGGAATTGCTCAATTATTAAGGCTAATAATTTGAAGTTAATAATTATAATATTAATACCAATGGGTCAATTATGTAACCGGATGAATAAAATCATTACTACTATACAGAATTTGCCCCAATCTTTTCTGTATGTAGGCATTTTAATTGCTGTCGCCCGTTATAATTTTTCATAATAATAACCCAATGTTTATATATCAATTCAAATCAATTACAACATGTTGGATGGAGTCACAGATAAATACCATAAAACAATATATGACACATGTATATAATTCGGAATAAGCTTTAATATAATATGAAATATTTGTTCTATACAAACAAAATGATATATTCTAGAATTAAGTACCACTAGAATTGTAAACTAAGATTTTTTAACGTAACTAATCTAATTTCAGAAAACAGTTATGTCATATTCATAGAAAAATTATTGTGTATTATGATTGTACACAATAGCATTATCCCAAAACTTATTCTATATTTTTCACAGGTAGGAGCATGTGCCAAATTATTAGTATATTTGGAGATCTAAAAACATAGTTTAAACTGAACAATATCTATTATCAACTACTTTTTAAAATTAGACAATTGTGTAAGGCAATGAAGTTTATAAACTTAAGTTTTTACGATGTTGATATTATTAAAGAAACACATAGTGGCACTAATACATAGTTTGACTTCGTAAAAGACTTCCACAAGCAAAAAATTAACGCCCAAAGAGTCTAAATTTTTGCAGGAATGTGCCATGTTACTAAAAAATAAAAAATCATTTCAACATGATACTTTCAATATGAATAAATCTTTCACAATTTCTATGAAATGCAATATTTTGATGAGGCTGAAACAAATCCCACAAATATAGAATAAGAATTGACATTATCTGTAATATAAATGAATAATAATAATGATCACATGGTAAATAATAACCTGGAATGCTAAAATAATTAGACAATGTGCTGAGGGAATGTACTCAATTAGACATAATTCTATATACAGAAAGTTTTAACAATATTGCTCAATAATATAAATTAGTGATCAGAACACTGAAGCAATGAAATCCACTTGAATGTCTAATTTTTTCACTCTAGAGTGGTCTGATAAAGAGTTATCAAAATCTTTCGACTGTCTATGACTTTTATTTAAGCAAACACACCATATTGATGTATGGATTTCATTTGACATACTGGCTGCCTTATCAATGAAAGCAACTTCTAATTGGCTAAAGAATCTAAAGATAGAGCATAGTAGTTAACTTTTCTGAACAGAAATTGTGTGAATTTCTTGATTGTAACAAAAACTAAAATTAAATTTCATTTATAATATCACAATGGTATTACTGAGCATAACAATAATATTTGGAATGATTTTGATTCGAGTTTTGATCTTAATGCAAAATCCCAGATTCATAAGGAAGAAATAAATGTTTGATTTCATATGGAAGTACAATCAAAATAAACGAAAATAAATTCCATACATTTCTAAATATTTAAGAAAAATCTCAAATTTAAGAGGAATGTTAAAGCTTAAAATACAAAAAAAACTGAAACTGATGGGGTAAGTAAGAAAATCAAAGAGATTCTTGTAGCAATATGTGACTAGATATAATAGATTACGACTCAAGTAGAACTTATCAATTAAGGAATATTTTCTGAATATCACATTTAAGTCTTATAATCACATATATATTTAGAGGTTTAGTGCTATGTTTGTTACCTCTGGTAAGATGTAACAGTAATTTACCGTTTGATACACTCAGTACATATCTTGGTATCAAACTTAATATGATTGTTATCATAGATAAGCTGATGTAATGAACCTTGACAAATCAAGGTTGTCAATTGTAAAATGACTTACAAGTACAATGGCAATTATTTATATTAAGTGAACAACAGTGCAATGTGTAAAATAAAAGCATATAAATAGATTAAAAGACATCCTCTATCTATAAAAGTAGAAAATCGATGTAGAGTATTTTAAAGGAAAAGTTACGCACAATGTGGAAAATAGAGCAATACAGACATAATTTGTTAATACTCCCTTACTTTTTTTTAAAGGTAACTATTTTATTCAATTGCTCTATTATGAATTAAAATTTGAAGAAAAAAATACAACGTATGCAAAAATTTAAACATAGAAGCCCTCAAACTAGGTTAAAATCTCCTATTTAAAAATGTTAAGCACTTTCATAACTTTCTGACATTCAGAGTCCATCTGGTAATCTATATATTATATACATAATATAAAAATGTGTTCATATTTTCATATAAAGCAATGTTACGTTCAGATATAAGTACTGCATCCTTTAAAACCATATATTAATTAAGTAGCACTGAGAATTTCTTCTTCTGTAGTTCCTTGATTTGAATAAATAGTCTTAAAAACACCTTTTGTTGCTTCTACCTTACATTACATAAGCTATACAGCACATTAAAAAGCACATTTTTAAAGCAAGTAATGTAACAGTTTGAACATATATCTTTATAAGTCAACTATAACAATTTAAAAACAGGAGTTGAATATATCACAACCAATATACAGGTTTAGGTGTTCATGGCAATATTTCTCTTACATAGGTTTTTTTCTCTTTACAAAACAATACCTTCAAATCTTCCTTTTCAAGTAAGTTCAACATACAGTCCATTCATACATTTCCAATATGCCATGTAGTGCTGTAGAAAAGGGCAGTGTTCTATGAGATGATGATGAAATTCATCTAAAAGTGTGTGAGACTCTCGCATCCTCATTGACTATCTAAATATTCCATAACAACTTGATAACAAAACTGAAATTGTTCCTGAAAAAAAATATAATGTCAGCAGCAGTGTACCTTCAACTTAATATTCTCAAAAAATACATAAAAACTGGTGACCAGAATTTTACACTATTACAAGTACACTTGACATTACTCATCAAATAAACATTGAAATTTGGGAAGCTCTTCGATATGACTATATAACATTCTTTATGTAACATTTTGCTGTCAGATGTTACCTTTAGGTCTTGGTAGTTTGTACTTACGATATTCTCTATAAATTGTGGTCGATTCATTCTAATTTGTTTAATAGATTGATAAACATCTACTTCATGATCGATTTCTAATCTTTCTAATATAATACATATAGCACTAAATAATCCACTTTTACTTGCCCCATTCCTGTAAATACAGTATAATATAGAAACACTTAGATTTCTTTCTTGGCAAATATTAAGCTTTTTAATCACTTTGACTTGGATATATGCATTGTACAATGAAGTATTTGACACTTCAGCATATTGTTACATCTGTTGAAAGTTCAAAGTCCTATAAAAGAGATGCTTTCCTAGGTCAAAACCACAATCAGAAACTGTCCCATTGTTCCTTACTCTACAAAATTAAAAATAGACATGTTGATACTTACATACAATGTATGGTAACAGGACCTTTACCATTCTGTTTTAAAGAATCTGTGACTAGTTTATGTAGACGAAGTAAACTCGTAGTAGAATTTGGTATAGTTTGATAATCAGGCCAAGATTTAAATAAAAACTGTTTAACAGCTCTCTCTTCACCCTTTAAAATATAGATATCAATATATAAACATCAATCAATCAGCTTTACTTCTCAGATTTAAAGATGCTGAACAATTTAACTTTAAGCAATAGAAAACATAATTCTGATAGCCAAAAATTCTTACCAATATATAATTTAAAGATATTTACAATCGAAAACATAATCTAAACTTCTTTAAACCATTTTTTGTGTGAATCTGACAAGGGAAGAAATGCCAAAATTGGATGTGACATGATTTTCTTACTGCAGTTTGTTCAGTTGCCTGTAATTTAAGTAGTTTCATCCCCATGACTAACAAGAACACAATTTCAACTCTATGTTGGAATTCCCTGACATACCTTTCCTTTATGACTTAGTTGACAAAGATGCATAGTAACATCAGGATCTACTTCAGATGATGATAACAATTCAACACTGAGTGGTCCATATTCCTCACTATAACCATACTCTACTGGCCAATATAGTGCACAACTCTATAATATATATAGATAATATAATAGTTTATTTTATAAATTAAGGTTGTTAAATAGATTGGTAACAATGGCATTTTTTATTCTTTCACATCTCAAATTTAGACTCTAAATTAAATAGTTGACCATTAAAAATATTAATATGGCCAAGTAATCTTTAAGCAGTTAAATTTTTGGAAATTGATTAGACAGGCAATGTTTGTATGTATTGTTTGCAAATATCAGATGGATGGACCTGTAGTAAGTGAAGTAAAAATGTACCATAAACCCAGTTTTTTCTGTATAGCCTTAACCAAGTCAAATTAGTTAAATATATGAAAATAGAAACAATGGTGATTGAAATCCATATATATAGACATAAGATCTTGAGGTACCCACTTTCAATACCAATATACATACTGAATATCAATCATTCCAAGCTAGGGTTTATAGTTATTGTACATTCAGTTATCATGCTATGAATATATGATGTCTCCCCTCTCAGGCCTAGCTTCACAATTTCAGTAAAGACATTTCACAGGGTAACTTAATAGTCAAATGACATGATCAAGTTAAATAAACATATTACTAATGAAGATTTCAGAACATTCTCAGCTAAATCATGGTAAGTTTACAAGAATGCATTAATCAATTTTAATTATTACTTGGAGTCTCTGCATGCAAGCCACTCCCTATCCAGATGCCATTAAATTGGTGAAACTATGCCCAATTATCAAGAGAAAAATATAAAATGATTGAAATTGAAATATATTATTTCAATAAAATCAAACCTATAACATACTTTTTCATACTGAAACTGAATAAACAAAATGAAAAATTAAACATGTTTCAAATCATTGTTAAATCATAATAAGAAAATTTTGATAAAAGAAAATGAGAAATATGAAAAATTATAAAAAATAAATGAACTTACTGAATCATTTCGTTCAAATTCATTGAGCATAATAACTGTATCTGAATTATAATCATATAGCATTCTCCAAAAATCAGCTACAGTATTTGGTAGAGGCATTTGTGTAACAATAAAATGATCTTTTTGACTATGACCCTGGAATGAATCATGAGAGTAAATTATATACTTAATACCATAATCAGGATTGTTCAATATGTAAGTTAGAAAATACACTTGAAATTTTAATATTCAGCAGAAATGAAGTTATACTATGTATCAAATATAGCTTAAGAAATGGTTTTAAAATCATATCTGTCAACAAATTTAGAATAATATTTAGTTTTAATAAAAAAATAAACATAGCTATGCTACCAGACTTAAGCCTAAATAATAAATACAAAAAGTTAGCAAAAAATCTAGTACACCACGGTGCAATATTCTATATACTCACAGGTAGGAAGACAGCATTAATATAGTCATTACATTCATCAACAGGTGTATACAGGAATGGCCGACATCTATTTGCTAGAAAATATATAATAAAATAACCTTTTGTGCCACAAGACAAAATCAAAAGTCTAAAAGCACTAACTACATTGTAAGCAATGATTTATGATGTATGATTTTGATAATCCCCAATATTTCAATTCATATTCATGAAGTCTCCCTTAAGGATTCAAATCATTTTCAATATCATGATTTCACTAAATAAAGCCGCATTTAAACAGCCACAAATTATCCGGGCCAGGTCCGGACTCGGTCCGGACCAAGTACGGTTCAACACAAAAAGTGGCTGTGTAAACGGGTTGAGAGGGCTCGGCACTGTGCTAGTATCAAGTGGGCCGAGTACTGCACGACAAAATTTTAGTGCTGTGTAAACGCGCCACTGGACCTTGTGTGCATGCGCAATAATGACCTTGACCCTGTTACTTTATTCACGGTAACAACAAACTAGGCTAAACTTTGACAAAAAGGATCGACTTACTGTTAAAATGTGTGCCCAACGGGGAGATACATGGAGTGATGAAGAGACCGAAGCTCTGATCGCTATTAGGGGTGACGAGATCGTCCAAGTTTAATTGGAAGGTGCCCGTCATAATCACAAGATTTATGAACCAATCTTAAGGTTCGTTTGCGCTTTAAACGAGACAAATTCTACAAAAACTTCAAAATCATAGCTTTGTTTATAGCGGGCGCCATTTTGTATGTTTGTGTTTTTTTCGCCTCCTCTGACTGGAGAGCAAGTCTACTTTTGATTTTGGCCCAGTGAAAACAGTGCTGTGCTGTGTAAACGGTACAGGCCAACCGGGCCGAGTCCGGATGAGTAAGGTTCACTTCAAGTGGGCCAGTTTTTATGGCTGTCTAAACACGGCTTATGTTGTTTGTTCACGGACTATGAACATATCATTATAATATAATATAGGAATGAACATACAATGGACGTATTAATGACTTTTGTCAATCATATGAAAATGTATAAAACAACCTCTTATCGATCCAAATCGATTGAACCAAATATATGGATATTAGGTTAATTTATTGGTCAATGAAGAATATTGCATATCAAACCAATAATAGGTATGCATAATAAATTGTAGTCATAACAATGAATACAGAAGTCATACAAAACTTTGCAATCTCTCATAACTGGGTTATCTAACTAGAATGTTAGTCTACAGATATCAGGCTTTTCTCATCACATAATGATATCTACAGATAATGTTTTAATAGATAAGGATAGGGAGATACTTATTAAAGATGTTAGTCTGAGACAAGGGCAATGTCACGTGCAACAATTCAATGAAAATGAATGGGTTTTGATCACGAAACTTTAAACTATGTAAACAAATAATTGGTGTAAAATACTAAGATAACAATTTAAAACAATTTAAGCCATAGATCACACCATGCTCATATGATGAACAGTTTCTGACTTACAAAAATAAATAGTCTTGGTAGAAGGGTTACAACTTCTGTCAAACCTTTAAAATCTACAATTAATGTAATTATATAATGTATTTACAGTAGAAATTAAACCACTCGCTTGAAGACAAAAATGCCAAAATATAAAAAAAGTCATCCAGCGCTGTACACAACTCACAGTTAAACTTTAAAGTGTAAAACTATATTGTGTTTCCAAAACTATTCTGACATCAATATATAAAATAGAATAAGCTTTACCTGGTAAAATATTTTTAAATCTATTTTTAAGAATATTTTCAGGAATCAATGCTGAAGAACATTCATCTTTTTCAATATTTGGGGTTAATAGCTGCAAAACCTGAAATAATAAATCACAAATAATCAAAATTAACTTAAATCATTACTCAAAAAAGATATTCCCTTTAAATACATGTGATCTAGGTCACATCCATAGAAATTTATTGAAGTTTTATCATTCTGAAAGACTGGATATCATTTCTAATAAGTAGTTGCCTAGCAAGATACGCCAAAAAGTTGCATTGATTTTAATAAGTCAAGGGCAATAACTCAACTTCTGTACATCGAAAATTCAAACTTGACCAAGATCTCATCATTATAAATGATTACAGCAAATTTCATTAAATCGGATGAAAACTGTAAGTCTTGATTGATTAATCTATATATTTTGAAGATGAAAATATTTTGAGATGAAACATGACCAAGATCTTATCATTATAAATAATCGCACTAAATTTCAATTATATCTGATGAAAACTGTAGTCTCTATAGTGTTCACAAACAAATTTTGACGCGTTTTTTCGTAAGTCAAGGCCAATTACTCAAAATCCGTTCATCTAAAAAATTGTCAACTTCAAACTTGACCAATATCTCATCACTTTAAATGATCACACCAAATTTAATTAAAATCAGATAAAAACTGTAGTCTCTATTGTGTTCACAATTGAATTTCTGATGAGTTGTTTCTAAGTCAAGGGCAATAACTCAAAAACTGTTAATCTTAAAAAAATCTTAAATTCGAACTTGGCCAAGATCTCATCAATATAAATGAACACAACAAACATCATTCAAATCAGATAAAAACTGTGGCCTCTATTGTGTTCACAAGCAAATTGTGGACGGACAGGGGCAACGGTAATATTATAATGAGTGGGGGTATCAAAACCTGGCTATCATACATAAAAGACTGGATTTTATCATTTGTAATGACTGGACAAATAAAGAAAGGTTTGACAGGAATACATTTAATTTAAACATCTACCTCATACTGTCTTTCTAGTTCTGTTTTTTCACCATCATCATGAGCTGTACACATATCTTGATAAACATTTCTAAATACAGATCTTAAAATAGTTGTATTACCAGATTTAATAGCTTCTAGAACAGCATCATACACAAATACATATTGTTCCTGTAATATAAATATCAATATACAAATACAGACTTTCAGCCATTATACACAAATACACATTATCATAACAAATATATTTTGTTGTATAAATACAAACATGAAATAATATACAAATACTACAGAGACCCCCAAACTAATTTACCCCCTAAATATACACAACAAAGATTATACAAAATTGCATTTTGTTCTTAAAATACTAATATTATACACATTGCTGTACAAATACATTATATAAATAGTATTAAACCTTACCCACGTTTGTATCATATTCACTCTATTCGTTCTCATTATTTGTGCTATACCTAAAACATCTACAACATTCTCATGTTGTGCTTGATCTAACAGATAATCTAAAGCTATATATGTTCCTGTTCTTCCAATACCAGCACTGAATTATTAATACAATACAAATTGCTATATTCAGATAGAAAACAAATCATTCAATCTACACAGAAAAAGAATATAGAGAAGCTGAGAGCACAAATTGCAGAATGAGTTCCTGTAAGATAATCTAGTTACGGATTTTATGTGCAGTTTTACACATTTCAACACTTTCTCTGTTCTCTAAATTTTTCACTAAAAACTGTCTAGGTGTCATTGACATTTTTTCATTCATTTATATCAACATAATAATATCAGTAGTAAAAAATGCACATTGGAAGAAATAAGAAGTTAGCCTTAGCTAGTATCTGTATTCTTACCTACAATGACAGAGTATAGGAGCTGTACTATCTGTATTATATAATAATACTTTACGTCTGAAAGCTAATAATGTTGTAGGGTAGGTTGGGGCACCATGATCTGACCATGTAGTAAAATGGAACTGTTTTACTATTTTACTAATTTCTTCCTGAAATGTTATAATAAGTACATCACTTGAGAGTTCTACAGCTCATATCTTATTTTATCATTTTGATATATCACTTACAACAGTTAAAAAATTGAAATTGAAGGATATGATTAGAACCATAACCAAAGCTGGACAGTTTAGAAGCCTTAGAAAAATGATAGGCAAACCAAGCTGGTAACAGAAGAACCTACCCTTGCAATTTCAAAAGTTCTAATAGTATAGTCTGTGTATTTTCGGGTATGTACAAGTTTGACTGTAACTTCACCATATTTTATAGAACCTTCTTCAGGCCAGTACTGTTCACATTTTCTCTAGTAACAAAATACAAATATAGTTTATTAAGATATAAAAAATACTTCAGGGTTCAAGGAATCTTACTTATGATAATATAAATCAACTCTATTCTCTATCTATTTACAAAACCATTGCTGTGTAACAGCATACAACAAAGTCTTTACATTCTATACATTCACATATTTGACTATGGCAGTTTGTTGCTTTGTAACTTTATAACTCACCTTACATGCCTCTACTAAATTTGTTAACATAACTATTTTAGATATCTTTAACTGCCATACCATTCTCCAAAAATCTCTGATCATAGTTTTATTGGGTCCTGGAATATTATTCCAAAATATACTTACATCTATATAATAGAGCTACAAACAATAATTGCAAAGGTAAAAAAATTATACATTATAGTCAAAAATTTGTTCTATATTTCATATTCCTTGCTATATTTATTTGTCACCTGCTCGACAGCCTAATACATAACGTAACATCTTCATCTTCAATGACTTTTTTCTGCATTCGATCAAAATCTTCAATGTTTGCTCCATTTAGCCAGGAATACCTATGATATGGGATGAAAAAGAGTATACAGGTACCTTGTGAGGCTATGAATGCTTTTTTTCTTGAATAACCCTGAAAGTACATAAAGGTTTAATTCAAAATAGCCATATACTAAATAGAAGAACAGAAACAAATATAAAACTAATTAAGCCTTTCAATATTCTAAATTAACATGAACAAGTAAAAATATAGTATCATCTGGTAAATTTGAAAAAAAAAAACACTTACATCCATATAATTAGCATTAACATAGTCTGTATTAGGTTCTCCTTGTATAGGATCTAATATAACTCTAGAATGATCATCTGTAATATAATTATATAATAATAAATAACATGATCTGTATTAGGTTCTCCTTTTATAAAATCTAATAGAACTCTAGAATGATCATCTGTAATATAATTATATAATAATAAATAACATGATCTGTATTAGGTTCTCCTTGTAAAGGATCTAATATAACTCTAGAATGATCATCTGTAATATAATTATATAATAATAAATAACATGATCTGTATTAGGTTCTCCTTGTATAGGAACTAATAGAACTCTAGAATGATCATCTGTAATATAATTATATAATAATAAATAACATGATCTGTATTAGGTTCTCCTTTTATAAGATCTAATATAACTCTAGAATGATCATCTGTAATATAATTATATAATAATAAATAACATGATCTGTATTAGGTTCTCCTTTTATAAAATCTAATAGAACTCTAGAATGATCATCTGTAATATAATTATATAATAATAAATAACATGATCTGTATTAGGTTCTCTTTGTATAGGAACTAATAGAACTCTAGAATGATCATCTGTAATATAATTATATAATAATAAATAACATGATCTGTATTAGGTTCTCCTTGTATAGGATCTAATATAACTCTAGAATGATCATCTGTAATATAATTATATAATAATAAATAACATGATCTGTACTAGGTTCTCTTTTTATAAGATCTAATATAACTCTAGAATGATCATCTGTAATATAATTATATAATAATAAATAACATGATCTGTATTAGGTTCTCCTTGTAGAGGATCTAATATAACTCTAGAATGATCATCTGTAATATAATTATATAATAATAAATAACATGATCTGTATTAGGTTCTCCTTTTATAAGATCTAATATAACTCTAGAATGATCATCTGTAATATAATTATATAATAATAAATAACATGATCTGTATTAGGTTCTCCTTGTATAGGATCTAATATAACTCTAGAATGATCATCTGTAATATAATTATATAATAATAAATAACATGATCTGTATTAGGTTTTCCTTGTATAAGATCTAATATAACTCTAGAATGATCATCTGGAATATAATTATATAGTAATAAATAACATGATCTGTATTGTGTAGGATATAAAATAACTATATAATGATCATCTGTAATATAATTAGTAATGATAAAATAAAAACTAAATAATAAGTAGTGATAAATACTTACATGCCACAATATTACCGTATCTATTTTTAGCTCTATTATCAGCTTTTCGACTCACTTCACAACATGCTAATAATCCAACTGGTAATTCCTGCAAAAGACATTGAAATAATTTTTACTGGCTGCTCAGGTATATATTGTGTAATTGTGGCCGATAAAACCTGCAGCCAGGATTGAAAGAGTTAATTTTTTCTCATATTGAAAAAAAAAATCCCTGACTTTGGCGTTATGTTACCTGGAATACAAAATTTATACTTTAATCTGTGCATGATTTTGGTGTGAGAAAAAACACTTTCTATTTATTGTAAATGTTATTTCCAGTGTGCCAAAAACAAATCCTATACAATTTTGTGAATCAAACTATTTAGTACTCTTTCTATTATATATAGACACAGCTTTATGGAACAACAATCACTGGTTAACCATAAAGCTGTGTCTATATATCGTACTCACAATTGCTAAATGCCATTCAAAGACTTTACTCTTTAATCTCAAATCTGTTACCATTGAAAAACTAACCTCAAATTCTTTTTTGAAGCCTAAACAATTATGTTCTTTATTTTTCTTTATATAATCATAAAGTTGTGAGATTTCCACAGGACTTGTTTGTCTTTTACCAGTAACATTAACATAGATTGGTTCACTGATAATTTCTTCATTTCTTTGGTTATCCATATGCTCCATTAAAACTGTTTGCTCTGAAAAATAAAAGAATCTGTAATTGTATGAAAAAGTTTTTATCACCTGAGATGCCTAATGAGTAAAAATATAAAACAAAAGAGTATTTTAAGATATTGAGTGTTATTGAATTCTAATTAGTAAACTTTGGTAATTAACATAAAAATAAAATACCTATTCTAGAATCTTCTAATAACTGACATGTTTCTGTTCCACCATGAGTCTGTAACTCTTCTTCTTGGCAGCCATCTTTACTAAATGGTTTGGATAAAGCTAATCTTTTACGCCTCCTCTTTCTACTGAAAAGCAAGAAATTATTTTCCTTCACTTTATTAACATGATTGACGCTTTATTATACCAGTCATTTTCAGATGTTTATTCTTCAACAAGAGCAATTCTAAGAAAAAAGTTAAAACTTCACATATCACATGGACAGCCATTAGGATATTAGTGAACATAATAAATGCCATACATACCTGAATAATAATACAATCAAAATAACAATAATTAAAAACACAACAACTGCAGCTATCCCACCACCCACTACTGATGATTTAACACTTTTCTGTAAAGCTGAAATATTTATAGTGAGTGTACATGTCAATTTACTTGGAAGATTTTAATCAAACACAGTTAAAAAACTGAATATGAACATTTTTTTTAGTTTTTGTAAATAAAATTCATAAATCAAGGATAACAACATGTTGATTGAAATCCAAACATATTAACAATGTTAGAGAAATATCTTCATTTGCATCCCTTCAGTGATTTATTTTTTTAAACAATAAAGTAAGAATCAAATTTTACCCATAGCACATTTGTAGCCAATAAAACCTTCAGCACACCCTTCTAAACATTGACCAGTTACTCTGTGACAGGGTACACCTAATTTACAATTACCACACATCGAGGTACAGTTCTCCCCATACCACCCTACTTCACAAGCTGAAAAAAAGACTTATACTGATAAAGACAATGTTAATCAAAATAACTTTTAAAACATGTTATCCTATTACAAAAAGTCCTTTATTCATGACTCTAATACAATGATAGGTTACTTTGATACAATTATAACTTTCACTATTAAACTGAGCTTTAATGTAGGGCTCTGTTATTTTTTAAAATATTTATGCCAACACTGTTTAGATAAATTGGATCTTTGTGATGATCATTTATAAAGAATATTTGTAAGTATTTTTGTAGTGTTAAAAAATTCAGGCTTGCTAGTTTACTTACTTTTATTACAATGTGTTCCAAAATATCCTGCCTCACAGCCATTTTCACAAGCTCCAGTAATATGATTACAAGTAAAACCTTGTCTACAAACACCACAGGGTTGTTTACACATTACACCATAAAAATTTTCTTGGCAGACTGAAGAATAGTGTCATACAGTGATCCAACTGGTATCTAACACCATTTCTCTTTCAATGGTCAAATCTTGTTATAGATAAAGTTTATAGGGGTTGAAAGCTTTTAGAGGTGCTGGCCATGGCATCAGAGTATCTTTTTCCCTGTGAACACTGCCACAAAAAGACAGTGGTCTGATCCAGAGTTTAGAGGTATTGAAGTATTGATGTGGTATGAGAAAAGAATGACAACAGTTTGGCTGTTTGTTTTATATGTATCATGTGCAATAAAACATGTACACAGTTAAGTTTAAACAAATAAAATACATACTGTCTTTACATCCTCCTGTTTGATTTCTGTAACCAGCTGCACAGCTTCTAAAACAAGATCCTGTAACATGGTCACATGGATCATTGTCACCACAATTACCACATAATCCTATACAATTTCTACCAAATGATCCATCCGGACATTCTACAATTATATATCATAATTATTATCATGAATTATCAGAATTTAAGTACTTTTATTCAGACTTTGATAGAGAAGAAATCAATCATTGATAACAAATCAGAACTACATTCAAACAGTAAGCTTATAATGTAGGCTACTGTTAGTTTAAATCCAAATAAATCTCCAGATATTACAGCAACCAATAATCCTATTGGTTTCATAAAATTTAGCAACTAGTAAGCAATGTTCTGAAAAAAATCTGGTCTAAAAAGTTCAAGTTCCCACCTTTTTTACACTTATCACCAAAATAGCCAGCAACACAATCTTCTAGACACTTTCCTGATTCATGATAACAATTATCATTATAACATTGACCACACTTCTTACTACACCTATCTCCATAATATCCTTGACTACATGCTGGGGATAGGAATAATGAAACTTCAGATACATGTTAATAAAACACTGAACCAATAAGAGACATGTTCATATTGTTTCTCTAGTTTGATACATTTCAAATTATTTCAGAAATTTGAAAAAAATTATCATACTTTAAAAAAACACAAACGATGCATCTATATGTGTATATTTATTCTGATAGTTGTATGGTAACCATTGGAAACAATGGTATCAGGATTTATCCAAGATACTCTCCAATAGAAGCACTTTGGTATCTGCTGAATTCCTTTGGCTCTTTCTGGTTGCAATTGTGTACCATTGTACTTCAACTCTTTTCAAAAGAAGGGAACTTTCAATATTTCAAATAAGAACTTACATTTATCACAGAATGTTCCAGTCCATCCTGGAGCACAATGTGATTGACATTTACCAATAGATTTATCACATATTTCCTCTATATTACTACAATGACATTCTTGTATACAACTTTCACCATACAGATAATCCGGACACTCTGAAAATACATTATCTAAGTTGAATATCAGCCATTATGGCTATGTTGTTCAATAGTTAAACAACACTAGCCTGTTGTAAGACGTGATGCCATATGCATAATGTCATAGTGATTTCTGTCAGATAATGGTTGATTAGAAAATATTCCAAACATTTCATTTAGAAAGTTCAGCTAGAATCTAAAGTCAGCCTTCTTGCTGTAGTACTATCATTGGAACATTAATTTAAGGTTGCTAACCTGACAAAAATCTTTGTGAGAAGGGAATCTAATGGTAGACTTACCACACACATTTAATACATCACAGATACTGGTGATAACTTCACCGTCTTTTATATAATAACACCAAGGTTTAGCAGCGAAATACTGTATACCAGGATTTCGACAATAAGTATGATTTTTGAGTTTATCTGGGAATTTATCAGCACTTATAACATCTTTAAAACTGGCTAATTCTGGATCTAACCAGTCTAAACAGGTAGTATTTTCTGCAACTTGATTGACTGTTCCTGTGTAGTTTACACCTTGTCTGTCATATAAACACTTGTTGTCTGCAACAAAAAACACATGAACATATCTTCATATCAGAATAGAGAAAAGGGAGTCCATTCAAATTGAAATATAGAAAATGCTGTGCATTTTTTGGTCCTATTAGTACAATGGCAATCAACATGTTCTCTTTTCAAACCTTCAAGATTTTCAACCTTCTCAACCATTACTACACATATGAGGACTAGTGTTTCCGTCATGTCACAATATATTATCTCTATCGATGATACTAAATGAAAACCAGAAGGGAACTTTCGCAAGTAGCATCACTACCTTCTTTTTGACAGCATGGTTATACTAAGGTTTCACTGAACTCACTTTAAGCTTTGAATTCAAGATTGAAGAATTGATTTTCTCAAAAATACATTAGAAATAATAATCAATGACTTACCAAATTGACAGTTTTGACCATATTTACCAGATTGACAGCCTGATGGACATGCTCCTGTTACTGGATCACATGGCTCATTATTTAAACAATTACAATTAAATCTACATTTCCAACCAAACTTTCCATTTTCACATTCTGCAAAACAAGATTAAATACCAGAATTAAAACATATTAGAGAGATCACTGGTACATAAATCAACAACAACTATTAATATATCTTATACAAATAAATATGTACAAACAACATGTGTAGGTACTTTAAATGGTGGAAAAAATTTTAATGTGCCATGTAAATAAGAAATTACAAGGCATTAAGAGAAGAGGAAGTATAAAATGTCAGAATTTATTTATTGAAATCTATAAAATTGTCTGATGTACACAGCCTTGAGTAACAGGATAAATACAACTTTATAAAGCAGCTTCTCATTCTTTTACTTTAAAAAAAACTAATGCACCCTAAGGATTTATTTATAACATAATAAACAATACAAATGACTTCATTTGTGAACAAAAAAAATCAATTTTTATCAATGTTTTATCTCTTTATTATCCAATCTGAAAAAGAAAGTTACTTAGAAGTCTAAAAATAAAGTTTCCGTGAGGAAATTTCTCATCAATCAGTGCTCTAGGCTTGTGATTTAGGAGATAAAAAATAAAATAACAATCATCTGTATGCTTTAACAGTATAATGATCTTTCTTTAGTCTATTTATTATAGAGACTAACATTTTCTTAATTTCAGAGCAAATCTTTCTAATAATACAGGATTATTTCTGGTCTTCAATCATGAACATAAAATCTAAACTGATACAGTTTCATTTGTGAACTATTATTCACATCATAATTTAGGCATATCTGTAACAATGACTTAATAACTCATGGTTTTCTCACAACAGTAAAAAAGATGCAACATTATACAGTCTAAAGAGCATGAATCAAAACTTTTACCATTATTTGATAAGTTAAATTATTTTCCTTTATCAACAATATCATTTATTATTTCAGAAGGAGCTTTTATTGAACAATCAAGTACAAGCAATGGTGGAAACAAGTCAAATATTGTATTACTTATGTTGTGATATGAAAAATCGTCATATTCGCAGTTGACCAAGATCTCATCAATATAAATGCTCACACAAAATAACATTAAAATCTGGTAAAAACTGTAGTCTCTAATGTGTTCACAAGTCAATTGTGGACGCAGACGGAAAGGGGGAATGGGGCAACTACAATATACACCCGCATTATAATGTGGGGTATAAAAAGATTAAGGGGAAAAAATTAACAGGTAAAATTGTGTAAAATGGGGTTTAGCAGCATCAGTCTGAACTTTTCCTGTTTCATC